TTTAATGGTTCTAAAGAACAAAATAAGGCATCTTCAAAGAACTACTAGCTTTATTTCTGTCCCTTCTACCCTACTCCCTTCCTCCTTCTATAAATAGCCATTTAAAATGTTACAGTGCTAAAATTGTTTCATTTCTTAAGTATAAGCATATACACATATAGATGTGTTTCACTCCTTTTTGCACATTTGCACCCTCTACATACAATTTTTCACCTTGTCTTTTTACTGGGAAATCCATCCTGGACGTGACTTCGGAGTCATTTATAGCAACACTTCCTCATTCCTTTTTGCAGTTGCAAAGAATTCCATTGTATGTACATATGGTGCTGTAATTATTTTATGACAGTTTCATAGTGGGAGATCTTAAACTAGCCTCTCTTAGAAACTGACAGGCAGCAATGGCAAAAAAAAAAGATCAGTAGGGCATAGAAAATTTAGACAACACAATTAACTAATACAAGCATAACCTTGTACCCAACAGTCACAGAGTTTACATTTTGTCTCAGATGCACACAGGGCATTTACCAAAATCGACCACAGCCTGGGCTGTAAAATGAACCTGAAATTTCAGAGGATTTAAATCATGCACAGCCACATCAAGCTTGTAGGCCAGTGCTTCAGTATGACCTTCCAAGGTCATGCAAGTGTGGTTTCATTGTCTGATACAGCAGCCACCACCCACATATGTTTACTGATTTTCAAGAAATCCAGGAGAAAAAAGAACATGTTAAATGATCCCACAAGAATGCAAGCAGAGTCTGGAATGTGGGAAATTCTGTAGGACAAATTGTTCAATTTCTTCAACAAATAAATTACAAGGAAAAAAGAAAAGAGAGGGAACCTATAGAACAAAAGAGACTTGAGAGAGACATCAGCTAAATGCAATGTCTGGGCCTTGTTTGGGCCTGATGTGAGCACACGAAGTGTAAAAAATGTTGTAAGATAATTAGGGAAAATTTGATTGGGTATGATCATTAATAATAAAGAAGTATTGTGAAGTTCCTAATGTGTGGCAATGGGGTTGTGTACATATATTTGGAAAAGGGTTCTCATCTTTTAGAGGTGCCTACTGAAGTATTTGTAAAGTGACAGGATGTTAGGGACTTGCCTTGAGGGACGCAGGGCAGGGAGCAGGGGAGCACAGCTGAGACGGGAGATGCCACAGCTCGGGGCTTTGGAAGCTCGGTGACGGGTACATTCGGTTTCTTGTGCTCTTGATGCTTTTGTGTGTGAACATTTTTCATAATACAGTATCTCACTGTATGTATTCATGGGAAAAAGTTACTTGAAGAAACATAGTAAGTTAGTAATGGTACAAGTGGCTGCACAGATATGGTTCTGAATGTAAACGAAATACAGAAATCGTGAAGCTTGGGGAACTTGATTCAGGGAAGGCGCCGCGGTTGGCAAGCCCTCCTTGCCTGAGGGCTTTGCTGGACTCTTCCATGTGTCTGTGGGCAACCCAGTGAGATTTTCACCTTTCCTTTAATCAGGAAGGCTCTGCTCTCCTTAATTTTGTATATTGAAGCTTCTTATGATTTCATTGTTGCATTCCTTAATGTAGGCGGCTTTGTCAGCTCACTCTGGGCTGCAAGCGGCCTAAGGCCCTGGGCTGCCTGCAGGGCTCTCGCTCTGGCCAGTCAGCAGTCAGTGGGCACACCGCACGCGCCCCCGCCCCCCCCCCCCACCCTCCTGCTTCCAGGGGAGGCTCTGTTCCTCTCTACACCCCCCGCCTGCAGAGACCTGACGCAGGGGCTGTAGCTCTAGATACTATTTCAGACTCCAGCCTGCTCCCAATGGGAGCTTGTTGACTGCTAACCAACAGGTTTTTTGCTGTATTATATTCTTGTTTCTGATAATCGTGTTATTAATATGAGGACAGAGGCAAGTGCTGACATTGTGTCTGACACTGTTCCAAGTGCTTTCCATGGTTCTGTTCAAACCAACAACCCTGTGAAGTAGGCACAATGGGTTCCATTTTATGGACAAGGAGCAGAGATGGGGACTCAGACAGACGGAGAGACTTTCCCAAGGTTGTGCCGCCAGGAAGAGACAGAAGTGGGATTTGAACGTGGACAGGTTCGTGTGCCAAAGTCCTTGTGCTTAGTCGCTGTGCTATACCATCTCTCTTATAAAAACCAAAAGGAACAGAACAAAACTTTAAAATGGGGGTATTTGGAATCACTAAAATAGTGTTTGATCTAAATGCATTGTTTCCAACCTAAGAGAGCAAGTGATTGTTTGTTCTTGCTCCATTTGGCTAGTGTAGGGAGACACCTGGTGGCCATTCTGTTTTTTTAAAAACGTTTATTATGGGAAATTTCAATTATATACAAAGTAAACAGAATAATAGTATGATAAATCCCTACTGTACACAGCTTCAACAATCAACCCCGCCATTCAGTTTTCATTTATACCTCCACCCACTCTCCGTCCCCTCCCCAACTGTTTATTTTTAGGGTTCTTTTTAAAATAAAGTTTACATGTGTCAAAATACACACAATCTCAACAAGTATCTTGACAAATAGATACACCCGTAATTCACAGCCCTATGGAGTTAGCGAATGTTTCCTTCGCTCCGAAAGATGTCCTTTGCCGGCCAGTCCCCTCTAACCAGGCAACAATTGTTCTGATTTTCACTGTAGATTAGTTTTGCTTGTCCTAGAGTTTATATAAACGGAATCATATGGCGTGCAGTCTTTTGTGTCTGAGTTCTTTCACTCGGCATAATGTCCGTGAGAGTCATCCGTGTCATTGTGCGTTCCAGCCACTTCCTCGTATCGCCGTACCCATTCTATTGTATAGATGGCCCACATCCATTCTCCAGTTGATGGAAATTTGGATTGTGTCCAGTTTGGGGCCACGACAAATAAAGTTGATGTAAACCCTTATGTTCAAGCCTTTTTGTGTGGGCATATGTTTACATTTGTCTTATGTAAACACCTAGGAATGGAATTGCTGGATCAAAGGGGAGGGGCATGGTTAACTTCATTAGAAACGCCAAACTTTCTCCCCAAGTGCTTCCATGGCTCTGCGTTCCTGCTGGCAGCGCGTGAGTGTCATCTGCTCCACATCCTTGCTACTATTTGATGATGTCCGTCTGCTATATTGGAACTATTCTGGTGGTATCTTGTTGTGGTTTTAATTCACATTTTCCTCATGTCTAATGATGTTGAGCACTTTTCTCTGTGCTTCTTGATCATTTGTCTATTTTCCTTTGTGAACTATTAAGGTTTTTTGCCCAATTTTTATTGAGTTTGACTTTTAATTATTGAGCTGAAGGAGTCTTTCATTCTGGATATAGATCCTTTACGGGTATATATTTTGTGAGTATTTTCTGCCAATGAAACCTGTGGCTTGCCTGTTCATTTTTTTTAACAGTATCTTCTGATGGAAAGTTATATATTTGATGAAGTCTAATTTTTAATTTTTTTCTTTTATACTTTCTTCCTGTGTTCTAAGAAAATTTGCCTTCCTCTGGGTGCAAAGATATTTTGCTCTGTTTTCTTATGATAGTTTTATATGGATTTTGCCTTTACATTTAGATCTGAGATCCATTTCAAGTTAATATATATAAACTACACATAATATAATGTACATATAAAATTATACATTATATAACCACTATGGATAATACATTACATATTTAATATATAATATATGTTATGTGTGTAGTGTGAGGTAGAGGTTCAAAGGCAGTTTTTTCCTTATGGATATCTACTTGTTCTTGTGCTATTGGTTGAAAAGATTTTTCCTTTCTGCACTGAATTGTTTTGACAATTGTCAGTTGTCAAAAATCAGTTGACACACACTTGGTTTCCTAAAGTGTGAGTCCTCTTTTTCTTCTTCAACTATTCTGGAGCCTTTGCCTATCCGAATATGCCAACTGTTAATTTGTCCTTTCTCAAATCCAAATTCACCCTTCAGTGCTCACCCTGTGATAACGAGCGCCCTCACCCCGCCCCAAGCATTTCTCCCTGATGCGAGAACTGTCAGTAGAGGGCGCTGCAGGGACAGTGCAAGAGCAGGAGGTTTCTCTTCGTGGCTCCCTTTGCTTTGTTTTGCTTTTCCCTGCTTTCCAGCCGCACAGTGTACACGGGTGGGACATGCACTGTGTGCCCCGAGCACAGCGTCCCTTGGGGACCTCAGAGCCGTGACCAGACATTGGTGGCTACCTTGCCGCGGTCCTCCCAACACAGACATCGCACTCTCTGGGCCTCTTACTGTCGCTGTGACCCCATTCCCGCTGCACGGGCTCCAGCCTCCAGCCTCAGGTGGCCTGAGTCCTGGAGAGCTGTCTCCCAGGGTCTTCCCAGCTCGGATGGTGCAGCGCCAGGTCCCCTGCCCGGCAGTGGCCTGACTCCCTTTGCTCGCCTGTGCCCGGGAGAGTTGTTCTGTCTGGTGACCGTGGACCGTGGGCCCTGGTAACCCAGCGACATCCTCCGCCATGCAGTGGGATGCGACCACACCTTCTCCACAGAGGTCTGAAGCCCAGCCTTGGGGAGGGGACAGTCCAAATTTGTCCTTCTTTTGAATACTTGTCTGTAGCAAGAAAATCCCTTTCTGACCAGACTCCTCAGCACTCGTCTAGGAAGTAACTTCTGGGGCCACCGTGGTTCTGCCTTTGGCAGGTCTTACACATGTTTTATAACCTCTCTGTCCCGAGTTCCCTCATCTGTGGAATGGGCATGGTAAGAATACTTACGTCCAACGGTCAAAGTGAGGATCAAAGGAAATAACACTGTCAACCGTTTAGTGCCTAATACAGTAAACGCTCAGTTCCCAGCAGCACCTGCTGCTGTTACTGCTGTTCCTGCTTTTACCATCATCCTCTGTACCCCTAACCAGGTGTAAGCTCTTAATGACAACAGCATGATGCCATCTTGGCTCCCTCCTGACCCCAGGGCTTAGCATCTTGCTATTCCACATTAGACGTGCAAAACAGTTCAGAGTAAGTGAGCTGCTGAGGCATGTTCTGTTTCCTGCAGAAAGAAGCGAGGAGGAGGCACATTCGTCTGCACATGGAAGGTGCGCTGACCGCCCGGGACAAGGTCGGGGTGCAGGATTTCGTGCTCTTGGACGCGTACACCAGCGAGTCTGCTTTTCTGGACAACCTTCGGAAGCGCTTCAGCGAGAACCTCATCTATGTAATGTAGCCCATTTCTCAGCTGTTCTCCTCCAGGGGTGCTTCCCTCCCTGACCTCACAGCTTTGACGATTGTGAACAATATCACTGTATTAGGTTAGCCAGTAAAGGGAGGTGTGGAGGGGCCGCTACCCGATGCACTTTGACCCTTTGGGTTTGAGACCTTCATGGCAGCCAGTGACAGAAACCCAACTGAAACCAGCCTTAGCACCAAAAGGGAATATACCGACCTATGTAATTTTAAGGTCTGTGGATAGATCTAGCGTCTTGGGTAATGTCTTGAGGACTCTTTCTCCATCTTGAAGGGTCTTTTCCACCTCTCTGCTTTCTTTTGTCTCAGTTCCCTTCTGGGGCAGTCTCTCTACAAGGTGATAAGATAGCTGCCAGCAGAACCAGGCTGACATCACCTTAGTGTTGTTCCCAAGAAGAAAGCAAATCTTCCCAGAGACACAGATATTGGTTGACCAGCTTGGGTCATGTGCCTTCCTCTGAACCAATCCCAATGGCTAGGAATGAGGAATATTCTGATTGGACAGACTACTCCCCCAAGCCCACCCCTGGGGACTAGGGGTGAGGCCAGGGCTCTTCTCTCCCTGTGATGTGGACAGAGAGCTGGAGAAGAGGGTTCCTTAGAGGAATTGGTTGGAGGAAGAGGACCTAGATAGCAAGGAGGCAAAAATAAGAGAGATCCACCACATCCCCTGGATCTTCAAGGGTCAGGGACAGTTCCGATTGGTCTGTTGCTTCTAGTGGTGGCCAGTTGTTATTAAGTTCTCCATTTATCACCCCACCCTAATTTGATGGGTCAATTTTCAGGTAAATTCTTTTAGGGTAAACTCTACAGTGTCTCTGTGTACTTGTATATGATGGAGTATCATTAAGTTTAACTTTACAGAGATTTTATTAGCTTTTGCTCTGAGTACATTAGATGATCAGAAGCAGCTTTAAAATACTAAAAAAGTGAAAACAAATTTGTCTTGTAGTTATTTTGTTTGTAATGGTGCCTGTGACTTAATCTACATGTTGAAACCAAGATTATCAGAAGAAGTAAGCCAGGTGCTTCTCAGACTATGTGTTTTTAATCATGGAAATGGATTTTATATATAAATTGCTTTTATGTATAAGCAAAGTGGGATGATAGGATCATCATGAGTAAATGTTTTCAATGTGAACAGATACATTTCAGAAATTACATTCTATTCCTGAAACTTTCTACTGATTGAAGCAAAGCATAATTTTAGTCAACATAATCTCTGTTTTGGTCCTCTGTTGGACTTTGTCCTAGAGACTGGAAACAATAGTAGGAATGATTTTAGCATACCTTAATGTAGGCTTGAGGGCCTCCAGTATTCGAGACCCTTAAATGAAAAGCAACAGCAAACCCAGAATCTGAAAGTACCTGGTGTATTTTCATAGGAACCAAATATGTATTTTTTCTGCGCAGGCTTAGAGCTTTGTTTATTCACAGTTGTATGCCCAGCAATTTTGCCTTCGTGGTTATATTACAAATATAAGTCCTTCCAAAACGTGACTATCCATAGAATCCAATGTTGAAATCTAGTGAAGTAAATGCCAGCGGTGGGGGCGTTTCCCCGGGGGAGGTGGCTGCCGTGAGCGCTTGCCCTGCCGTCCCAGTCTCGACGGCGGGAGAGACAGGATGAAACTCAGTCAGGGCGTGGCGCTTCCCTCTTACAGTCATTCCCATGTTTTACCTAACGCTGCAGGGCAGGCGTCTCTTTCTGGCAGGGAGAGAGGCGGTTCTGCCACCCATTACGTTTGGAAATAATCCTCCAATGCCTCCTGCTCTGTGTGACCTGAACTCGCTCCCTCTCCAGCATCACCTCTCACCTCTCCCTCCTCCCTCCATCTGCCATTGGTGGCCTCTGTGGCCTGAGTGGCCTCCAGCCCGCCACGCCCACGCTGGTTCCCTCCGCCTGCCACGCCCTTCCTGCTGACTTTTTCAAGGCTTCATTCCCTGTCCCTCAAGTCTCAGCTCAGAAGTCACCTCCTTAAAGAAGGCTTCCCTAAACCCTCTAGCTGAAGTGGCCTTCCTGAGTCATTCACTCTCTAATTACCCTATTTTTACCTTTCTTATCAGTTATCTCTAACTGAAACAGTCTTGATCCCTTGGTTGTTTATCTACCCCTCCCCACCTGCCTTAGTCACTGTGTGTATCCCCAGCGCTGACTGAACGCCTGGGGACTGGCCCGTAGCAGGTGACGGCCTGCCTTTCCCCGCGGCCACTGGCACCCCGGAATCCTCACTAGCACTTTGGTCTCTTCCTCTAGACTTACATCGGCACCCTCCTTGTGTCTGTGAATCCGTACCAGGAGCTCGGCATCTACACCCTGAGCCAGATGGAACTTTACCAAAGGGTCAATTTCTTTGAACTCCCACCACATGTGTAAGTAGCACCCATCGAGTCATCAACATATTTTTCTATCTTTTTGTCTCTTTTCCCCCCCTCCCTCTCTCCCTTCTGAACACCTACCCGCACGCCCACCCGTGCATTCATTCATCCATCTGTCCTTCTGTCCATCCCCCCTCCCGTCCATGCATCCAAATCCTTGACGCATACCCGTTAGGTTCTGTATCTCGCTTATACTGCTGTTGCCCTGCAAAATAAGCCTTTCAACACCGTTGAAAACAACAGCAAACCATTGTCGAATCTCAGCTTAGATATGATGAGAGGTGGAATCTGTTGAAGTTGCTGAGCAGTCTCAGAGTGGCTAGAGGCATCTTCTCTGGGAAGTGGGCAGTTGTTCCATCCCCCGGGGCCTGGTGCCATGGCAGCTACGGGGAAGCCCCATTGGCAGAAAACTTACCAGGGCGCAGGTCCATTAAAGACAAGCGATTTCCTGTATGATATGAGCTTTGCTAAATTTCCCAGTTCTCCTTCCTGGTTGATTTCTGGGCTGGGATTTCTGTTCTCCCTCCATTGTTCTTGGTGACTCATCTTTTCACCTCCCAAGGCATTTTATAACCCTTTCTGCACCACTACCACTCATGACATCTGATGTAATTAGCTTGCCAGCTCAGCCACGTGCACAGGTTATAAACTTCATGCTTTGGTTTCTGCCCGTGGAGATAAATCCCTCGTGAGTTTTAGCTGTTGTCCTAAAGCTATCACAGAGGTTTGAAAATCCTTTTTGGTTTCCTGTCTACATTTTCAATACCCTAGGTTTTGAGAGGAAATGTGAGATCTCATTGTATCTATTGAATTATTTAATATTTAGACAAGATGTTATTTCCACCTACAACTCATAGAACATCTCTTAGGGATGTAATTTAGTACCTGGATTATTTAATAAGAAACATCGATAGATTTTAAAGATAAATGTGTTAAATTAAAAATTATTTCTGTGACTGCTCAAATTCTTCTTCATCTCACGTACTATTTGAGCTTTGCTATCTGGTACACTCTGTGTGCGATCCAGGACCGGGTCATTGTGGGGTTTGATCTCTGTCTGAGCTCACTGTCCTCGTACCACGCTCTGGACATGGCTTCCTGGAGGCAGGGCACTTTGTCCTTCTGTTCCTGTGAGTGTCAGAGCCTCTCCCCGCCCCATTGCTTCCCTCCCGCCTCGGCAGCTACGCCATAGCGGACAACGCGTACCGCATGATGTGCTCGGAGCTGAATAACCACCTCATCCTCATCTCTGGAGAGAGCGGGGCAGGGAAAACCGAGGCCTCCAAGAAGATTCTCCAGTACCTTGCAATGACCTGCCCGATGACTGACTCCCTAGAAATAGCCCGGGACAGGCTGCTGCTCTCCAATCCGGTGCTGGAGGTAAGCAACCTTTCAGGACCTGCGAAGGCGAGTCCAGGATGGCCTCTGAGTGACAAGGGTCCTCTGTTTGGGCAGGTCAGTCACTGTCTGGCAGTAACGAAGAGGGTTCTTCAGGGCGGTATTGCAGTTAAGGGCACGACCTTCAAGTCCAGCAGGCATGACGATCGTTCCAGGCAGCGTGGCGCCAGCTCCTTTCAGCGAGTCGCCTCGCGCCTGGGGCGCGTTTTTCCCTCTGTGCCCTGGGCCTGCCCACGGTGCCTGCCTCTTGGGAGGCTTCGAAGGTTAAACAGGATGGACACATTAAAAGCACACAGCAAAATTAAGAAGCACTAAAATAATGCTCGATTATTTGTTAATGTTTTTATTGTTAATTAAAATCATTTGGATGGTTATTTCTACTCTTGAAATTCACTGACTTGCTGGGTAATTTTGAACAAGTTGTTTTCTCCTGTGCTTTTGTTGCCCTTTGTGTAAAAGATGTTTAACATTGAAGGAATTTTTCCCAGTGGACCTTTGGGCGGAACAATTTATCTCTGTGATGTAAAATGAAGGGGCCTGGTTAGGTGGGCCCTCAACTGTGCCTTCGAGAACAGCAAGGAAGGGCCAAGGGTCCCATGTACCCTCCTTAGGCCATTTCCTATCTATTCCTGAAGTGGATTCCAGGGAGAAGATGCTTTCCCTTTTTTTTTCCTTTAGGTCCAACCTCTGTAGTTAGTGATTCTTTCTTAGGAGATAAAGTATAGCTTTCATCCCTGGCTCCCCCTCCCTCCTGTTTTCATAATATGCATGTCACTTGGGGTCAGGAATATAGTGAGTTTAAACGACAGGTAATGACAATTTGGTTCAGTCCCTCTCCTCTCCCCTACTTTGTGTTCCAAGGCTTTTGGAAACGCCAGAACACTCCGGAATGACAACTCCAGCAGATTTGGGAAATACATGGACATACAATTCGACTTCCAGGTACACTGAAGTTCCTAGTGCTGGTTCACGGGGGCCCCTTCACTCAGCAGCGACAGAAACCCAATCCAAGTCACCTCAAGGGAGGGAAGGCATTTATTGGCTCAAATAGCTGGAAACTCCAGGATCAGTCCTCATTTTAGGAAATGCAAATAAAGACCCCACTGAAATAACCTTTTATACCTTCAAGATGGGTAGAAATGAGGAAGCCTGAGAATACCAGGTGTTGGCAAAGATGTGGACCACTAGGAACCCTTACACATAGCTGGCTAGGGGGACCTTGGCACAACCCATTTGGAAAGCAGTGTACAGCGCGGGGCAAAAGTAGGCGTACAGTTGTTCATATGGATAACCATACAATAACTAACAATAATACAAGAATGAACTCTGCGTTTCATGTCCCCACAACTGCCACCTCCTTTTGCCCCACCCTGTATCATCTTGTGAAGCTGAAGTCACACAATCTAAGGCAGGGACGTTCCTCCTGGAGCTGGCCCCACAGATGCGCAAGCACGCCCACCGCAGCGCTGGTCAGGACGGCCGAAGCACCGGGAGCAACCGACGCAGCTGGCGAGGACCGGACGCCTGTCCGCAGGAGGACGGCTAGCTGTGTTGTGGGCTGTTTCCACGAGGAGGGCTGTGCGGCCGTGAGAGCCCCTGACTGACAGCGACACGGGGGCGGGTCTTGGGACCGTGTAGCAGTGCGATGCCGGTTCTTCCAGAGCTTGAAAACGTTCACAAGCAAACCGTGTGTTGCTTAGGCACGTGTAGTTACGTAGCTGACAGACTTTTCAGATAGGGCCAAGCAGTCTCGGTGGCAACCCCTCAGCTCTGCTGTTTAATGTGACAGTGGCCAGAGATAATAGGTAGCGAACGAGGGTGGTTGTGTTTGGCCCAGATTTAAATGGGGCTAATGCAAGTGCAAGTTCTCAAGGACATATAATTCGAAGTGACAAAGTGACACCGAGCCTGGAGGCCAGGCCCCAGCTGAACCCTGAATGTAACAATGAGGACGGACTGTCTCCAGGTTTTCCAGAGGCTGGTGCTTAGACTGCTGGTGATGTGTGCATACACTTTGAAAAAAAATTTAATCGCTATGTATATTTTTAAACTTTTTTTGAAATTTAACACATGTCCTGGAAAGGATACAAATCATGACTACAACTCAATGAACTTTTACCTTATGCCTCTTCCTGCGTAACCACCCCTCAGATCAAGATATAAAAATGTCGAGCATCTAGAAGGTTCTCCCAGCCTTCTCTGGCAATGCATATCCCCCTTCCCAAAGGTGATCACTGTTCTCACTTCTCTGATCACATTAATTTTGCCGGTTCTTGGGCTTCACGTACATGGGATTATATAGCACATGCTGTCTGTTAAGTTCATTCATGTTGCTGCATGTGGCGGTAGTTCAGTTTTGATTGTATGACTTTGTCACCATTTGGCTGTTCTCCTGTTGATGGGCCTTTGGGTTGTTTCCCGTTTGGAGCTGTTGCAGACGGTGCTCTGGATATCCCTGTACACGTCTTTCAGTAGATGCAGGCACCCATTTGTGTTGGCCATATGCCAGAGGTGGCATTGCTGGGTTCCTGCTGCCAAGGTCACGGGAAGTGATAACAGCCCCAGTTGCTCCACACCTTTGCCACCGCTTGGTATGCCAGTCCTTTCAGCTGTAGGCGTTCTGTGGGGTACAGAGCTCACTGTGATTTGAGTTTGTATCTTCCCGGTGATGAATGACATTTTGGTCATTGGTATGTTGGTCCTTTCAGTTCAGGGTTATAGTGCTTTCTCACTGTGATTTAAGTTTGTAGCTTCCTGATTATTGATGAAGTTTTGGAAATTGTTAAAGTCTTTTGCTCATTTTTAATTGGGCTTTTTTTTTCTCATTGATTTGCGAGAGTTCTATATATGTTCTGGAATACAAATCCTTTGTGGGATGTAATATTAAAAATAATAATTAAGACATTGTGATATTGGCACAAGAATATATAAACAGAACAATGGACCAGGACAGAGTCCAGAAAGACCCCATGTATAGGTCACTTGACTTACAAAAGAAATGCCACAGTGGTTTAGCAGGGATAGGATTTTTAATAAATGGTGCCAATCAATTGGCAGTTCGTATGGATAAAAAGACCTTTGACCCCTTACTTCACTTCATATACGAAAATTAAATAGTAATCAATTATAGACCTAAACATGAATGGTAAAACAATCACGCTGCTAGATGAAAACATAGAAAACTTCTTCATGGCCTTGGGGCAAAAATCATTTTAAACAGAGCCCAGGAAAAAAAAACACTGATCGCAGAAGGCTGATAGACCCGACTTCATTCACCTTCAGAATTTCTGTCCCACAGAAAACACCAATAGGAGAGTGGCTTGGTTATTGCTGTGTTGCCGCATTTTTTTTGTCCTGTTTTGAAGGGCATCCCCATAGGAGGGCATATCATCAGTTACTTGATAGAAAAGTCTCGAGTTGTTTATCAGAACCAGGGGGAGCGGAATTTCCACATCTTCTACCAGCTTCTAGAAGGTGGCGAAGAGGAGCTCCTTGCTTACCTAGGATTGGAGCGAGACCCCCAGCTGTACAGATACCTCTCACAGGTTGGAAGAACCAGCCCCTGGCTTTGGTGACCGCATGGAGGGGGGATCAGGGGTGTTTGTGGGGCCTTGTGGGATGTCCTAAGAACTTTCTCATACCATTTGGGAGGTATCCTGCTGACAGGTTTCTTGACACGTACCAAAACCTCTCCTTTTGTGTCTGGCAGGCATATCATCTCAGTAAACTCTCCAATATCTAGATGGATGGTTCTCAGCCCTGGCTGAAATTAGAATCACCCAAAGAGCTTTATTTAAAAAAAACTTATTTTGCCCTGGCTGGTGTGGCTCAGTGGATTGAGTGCCAGCCTGGCAACCAAAGAGTGGCCGTTCAATTCCCATTCAGGGCACATGCCTGGGTTGCAGGCCAGGTCTCTAGTAGGGGATGTGTAAGAGGCAACCACACATTGATGTTTCTCTCTCTTTATTCTTCCTTTCCCCTCTTTCTACAAATAAATAAACTCTTTAAAAAAATAAAAAATTTTTTTAATCCTCACTCAAGGAACCACATACACAATGGTGTATTTATTGGTTTTTAGAGAGAGAGGGGGAAGGGGCAGGGGAGAGAAATAGACATCCATTAATGTGAGAGAGAGACATCGTGATCGGTTGCCTCCCACACTTGCCCTGACCTGGGATCAAACCAACAACGTACGGCGTGTGGGGTGATGTTCCCACCAGCTGTGCCACGCAGCCAGGGCACCCAAGGAGCTTTTTAAATGCCCGGGTTCTCTACCCTCCAGGGGTTCAGATTTAATCGGTCTGGGGTGGGACCTGGACATCAGGGTTGTTTTAAACACCTCCCTGTTATCATAAATGTTATTAAATTAATCCCCTGATGATTTCAGTGCTCAGCCAGGTGAGAACTGCTGGTCGAGGTGTGATGGAAACTTGCTGACAATCTGTCCCCACAGCTGATGCTACCTTGTCTGCTTCCAAATCTAGTTTGGAAAAGACTTCTTGCACCTTCTTGCCGTCCATTCTGAAGGTTGTTAGCTACAAAATGAATATGCTCCCTTAAAAAAACAATAGTTCAGACCATTCCTATAGGCAATCTTGAGATCTGGTGTTATAAAACTGACTCAGAATTTAACTTCCCAACACTGATTTTTTTTTTTTTTTCAGCCAGCACCTAGGATTCCTGAATGCCCAGAATGCATAGCACCTGTCAGTATTTATGTCACTAGCACTTTTTTGCCCCCAAGTGCTTCTTACAGGGCTTGGCTTTGTCTTCTTACAGGGCCTGGCTTTGACTGGAGGAGGTCACTTGGCGGGGGGCATATAGTGATGTCATCTGAGAAAGTAAACGTGGTCTTACAAAATGAATCCTGTAAAACAAGCAACATTTCATAGTAAATCATAGCAGGAAAGATGATAGACATTTATCTTGAAAAATAAACCTAAATAATGATGATAAAAGAATCTTCCAAGCTTTTTAACAAGCTTTGCACTAATTCTTAGAACAAAGAATAAATTAAAAAATTCTCTTTCTGAGGGCCTAATTTTTCCAACAAAGCTGTTTAGTAGCATTGCATTTCGCTTTTCCTAGCATGGTCAAAGAGGATCAATTGTAAAAATATTGAAGAGTTTCATTCATGTTCCTAGGGCTTCTCCCAACCTTTGACAATCCAATTATTCTCCTTCGGAGTATAGTATCATGTGTTTATCCTTTTAAATTTTTTCTGACCAGGTTAATTTGGCCAGTTCCTGCACACCACAGTGGCTTTTGACAGTTCAAGAATTTGCATTATCTTGATTCATTTCATGATCTCTGTAACTTTGGCAAACTGTGGCTTTACTTTGCAGTCTATTTGCATTGCTCCCAAACCTCTAGGTGTCCTTGAAGGACTCACTCCACAGGCCCTGTCCTTTAGGGGAGGGGAGTGGAGCAGAGGCTGCTGGGTGCGTGAGAAGGGATATTTGAGGGTCTGTAGGTTTCACACTCGCCAGTTCCCTGGGGAATATTTTCATTGTATGAGACCTTTGGTTTCCCTTTGCAACTAGGAAATCTTTTAAAATAATGAATCTTCAGATAACCAGGAAGCTAAGAATACCCTGTTCTCCAAAGCCAAAATAATCAAGAAACCCCCACCTAGAATGCTTTCTCTTTAAATTGTGATGTTGATCTGATACTTACTTAAAAGACAGCTTCCAGAGTTAGTGGGTGAAGTCTTATCACACTTCCGCTGTGATCATTCTCATACAATCTGTGTTTCTCTCTAAATGCCAAACATTCCTTGAGTGACGGCCTCCTTGCATCAAGTTTCGGCTGGCGGTTGCTAAGCGTGTCCAGATTGTTTTCTGAATTTAAGGAGTCATTTCCTCCGTGTTTCAGCAGATATTTATTGAGCTATATCTCCAATTTTTTTAAGCAAAAATGGGAAGAAAATCTCTTTTTAGAAATATACAAAAAGATATACCACTAATATGTAACTTTGAAAGTTTTTCCAGGACAGAGCTTTTTAAATAAACTTCCAAGTAAATTTGGATAAAATGGCAGTTGGCGAATCATCCTAGGCTAGATGATTGGAGTAAAATATATTTTTTCCACAATTCAGAACATCATATAGAACTGGCTCGTGCATGCTTGCGGAGAAAACCATTGTGATTTAGCAATAGGTATTCCCATGACCCGCTGTCCTTACAGAAATTCCAGTAAGCAACCCAATTTTGTGTCAATAGGGTCATGGTGCCAAAGAGTCGTCTATTAATGACAAGAACGACTGGAAAACCGTTTCCAATGCCTTTTCTGTCATCGATTTTACAGAAGATGACCTGGAGGTACGGGCCCCGAGGGCAGAAGTGCCAGTGAAGCCTGGAATCGAGCAGACAACCCTGGTGTTTTGTTTTGTTTTCAAGGAATTCATTTATTTATTTGAGAAAGGGGAGGAGGGGGAGAAAGAGCAGGAGAGAAACACCATCAATTGGTTGCCTTTCGTAAGAGCCCCTACCGGGAATTGAACCTGCGACCCTTCTGTGTGCAGGACACCGCCCAGCCAGTCCCAGGGCTACTCCTGGTGTCTTGGTGATTGCGTGGTGGGGTTGCTAGATTCAGCCAACAAAAATGCAGGGCGCCTAGTTCTATTTTAATTTCAAATAAGCAATGACTGATTTTTTTTTTTTTTTTTTTTTTTAGTATATTCTAACGTGGCACGAGACCGATTGCCACTAAAACGTTAGTCGTTGCTTATTTGAAATTCAAATGTTAACTGGGTGCTCTGCATGTTCCTGGCAGCCCTGGTTTTGCCAGGGTTGTACGGAATGAGGAGATGGTGTTTATTCTTCCCCTCAAGTCCAATCTTTAGGATCTTATTGGTAATGCATTTCTGTGGAATTATTTACTCTTCTATTTTGAAACAAACTGGAACAAATTGTAGGATTTGTAAACATTGTTTTTACATCCTTTGGTCTTTTTTAAATTATTAAACTATTGACCTTTCTAGAACAACAATATGATTCATATGTGTGTGTGTGTGTGTATGCATACACGTACATACACACACACACATTTACACATCTGGGACCGTGGCATTTGAACATTAAATGGTTCATTGGGTGCGGGCAATATAAAAACAAGAGTGTCCTGTGCAGGAGATTGAGTGAGACATTTCCCCCACCCCGAACCCCAGTATCTGAAGTGAATAAGAGAAAGTCGGACCTGTGAGCTCAGGGCTGGAACGGGGGTGGGGGGCGGCTCTCCCTCGAGGATCCCCTCTGATGACACCTGTCAATGAGGCGGCTGCCGTCTTCTCTCCCTGTCTTCCTCACCGCTTCCCACATTCCCAGAATCTCTTTGGAATTATTGCCAGCATCCTCCACCTGGGGAACATTTGCTTTAGAGAGAACCACCAAGGCTGTGCGACTATACCCGTCATCCAGGAGATCAAATGGATCGCCAAGGTGATGTTTACTTTCAGAGGCAGCCATGGGGTCAGGGGGTGGAGGGCAGAGTTGGGGGGAGAGGGGAGCGAGACCGCTGGATGCTCACATCCCAAAATGGCTGGCACCACGTTCTCCCTGCTTAGGAGCTGTGAAGAGTGTAGGGGCAGAGGAGGGCGTGGGTAAAAGCCAGTTGGTTGAAAGATCTAATGTGGTCTGTTTTGCATTAAAGCACAACTGTCAGCCAGGACAGATAATGCCTGAGCCTGGAAACTCCACGAACTCTTCATAAGCCAGCGAGGAAAATCCAGTCACTGAATGGCATTTTGGTTTTCATTTCTGCAGCTCCTGGGGTTCCAACCATCAGTGCTTCTGGAAGCTCTCACCCATAGAAAGATTGAAGCCAAAGCTGAGGAGGTAAAAATGGCTCTGGGTGGAAATGCGCCTGTCACCCCCACCCCTGCTGCCAGCAGGGAGGTGGCCCTGGGACGGGCAAGCCCCCAAACGCTGCCCACCTGGCCCCGCATGGCCCAGCTGCTGCCAGTGCCTCCTGCCGTGACTCCCTCATCCCCCAGCATCGCACCATCACTTGCTCTCCGTGCCTCCCGGCCGCCGTGCCTCCCTCCACAGGGCCTTTGCATATGCTGTTCCCTCTGCTTGAACACTCTTCCCTCTGTTTCATCTACTTGTTCTTTGTCCTTCAGTTCCCACCATCCCTTCCTCAAGGAGCCTCCCCATTCACTTAACCCCTCCCCTATAGCATGTGCATCTTCGTACAGCACTTGTCACTCTCAGCTTGAGAACAGCATGACTCTTCTTTGTGTGACTTACTGAATGTCTCACCACCGCTCCAGATGTGAGCCCAGCCCACAAAGGTTGGGACTCTGTGTCTTTTTTTTTTAGATTGAAAGAGACACATGATTTGTTGTTCCACTTATTTATGCGTGCATTGTTCGCTTCTTGTACGTGCCCTGACAGGGGATCGAACTCGCAACCTTGGCCTGTTGGGACGGCCAGCTGAGCTACCAGCAAGGGGCAGAACTGTTTGTCTTGGTCATGGTTGTATCTCATTAGCTCAGCACAGTGCCTGGCACTCAAGAAAGAGCTACTCTGTGCACAGGTGCAGGGGAGAAAGTAGCATCTTCCCAAGGAGTCATCATTAAAGGGTAATTTGAAAACTCAGGAGACATTTTTTTTAATCTCTGTAATGGCGCACCTGTTCTTTTCAGGTGATGTGTCCACTGACGCTAGAACTCTCTCTCTACGCTAGAGATGCAATGGCAAAAGCTGTTTATGGACGAACATTCACTTGGCTGGTCAACAAAATCAATTCCTCCTTAGTGAACAAGGTTAGTCCACACACTTTGGATGACTTGCTCTCACTAACATGGTTTTATAATTCACATGTTATTCTGAACAACTTGTGAAAATTAACCATAAGCTCCTGATGGGTAGGCTCACAAAAATGCCTGCTAACTGATTCTCCCAGCACGCCCCAAAGCATTCAAAGTATCCCAGCTGGCTTTAAGTACACACAGAAACTTGTAATATTCACAGGAGTATATTTAATGTGTAGCAAACAAAATACGACTCCTTCGAACTCACCCTATGGACACATTTTCTTTTTAAGTGGAATTATTTAGACAGAAGGAGAATTTACTCAAAGCTAGAAATTAAAGAAATGATTCAAGGACTCCAGTTACGTGGATGTGGTGGAGCTCATGAAGGTAGCGTGCAAAGGGCAGGTTTGGGAGACATCAGCTCAGCGCGGGCGCAACCTCGGAAGCACTGCGGGTTCATTCTAGACCACAGTAAAGTGAAGCAAGCTGTAATCTTTTTGCTGGCTGATGGTCTTGCCTTCAATTTGTAAAAACGCAACATTTGTGAAGTGCAATAATGCTAAGCACAATAAAATGAAGTATGCCTGTACACCATACATAATGTTAAATTTTGTCCCTTTTTCAAAATAGGGAGACGCTCTTTAAACATCCACCCTTGCCTGACAGCACTTGGCCCTTTACTTAAAATGATATCCGTCGCACCCTCTCTCCTGGATAAATGTCTCCTTGGCTGGCTGTCTATAAGTTCCCTTCCTCCCTCCCTCCCTTCCTCCCTTCTTTTCTTCCTTCCAGATTGAACGTGGGCGTGGGAGGCTGAGGAGGGTGAAGCAAGGGAGTGAAGCAGGAGGGGAAGGTCTGGCCACTCGGGAGGAGGGCATGGGAGCTGGATGGGATGGGGCAGGCGGAAGGCGGAAGGCGGAAGGCGGAAGGTGCGGCCTGGGGAAATTGTTTCCACCCCCAGGTCCTTCTGCGAGCCCTTGCTGGAGAGAGAGGGCATGAACTTTGTAGCCAAGGCCCCGCTTCGGGGGCAGCTACCAGATTTCGAGTGTCACAAAGTGAAAGAGCTAACAATGAACACTGTGCGTTATTTTGACTAGGAGTTCACCAAGAAAACTGTGATTGGACTGCTGGATATCTACGGGTTTGAAGTCTTCGACAAGAATGGGTGAGGCCGTTTGTTCAGCTTTAAGATCTGAGTTTAGTGCGCAGCGTCTCTCATATTGTTGGAGTTGATTTTCCCATTCCCAGAAAGTCTCCAGAATTGCATAGATTGTTTTAGAAGTTGAATAACCAGAAAAAAGGCAAACATCTTTTAGCTTGATTTTGTGATCTATTTAGTAAATTATTTGCTTAATAAAGATTTTGATTTTTCTATGTTAAAAAACATCCTTAAAAATTAGTAAATATACTAGAACTGAAAGCAACAAATGAGCAAATAAAACCAACAAGCTTTTTGACACAGGCAACAGTATGGTGATTACCAGAGGGGAATGGGGGCTTGGGGGAGGGTGAGGAGGGTAGAGGGGGGCCAATATACGGTGACAGAGGAGACTAGACTTTGGGTGGTGAGCACACAATGCAACATACAGATGACGTATTATAGACTTGTACACTTGAAACATAATTAACCAATGTTATTCCAATAAATTTAAATAAATGAATACAATTTCGAAAAAATTTAGAAAAGATTTTATATATTTTTTTTAGAGAAAGGGGAAGGGAGGGAGAAAAAGAGGGAGATAAATGTCAGCCAGCTGCCTCTCCCACGCCCTCCTGGCCTGCGGCGCAGGCATGCGCCTCGGCTGAGGCCGCGCGGGCGGCGTCTCGTTGGGCGGGCTGTGCTCACGCCGCAGGCCCCCAGGGGCCAGGGCATCATAAAGGGAAAAAAGTAAATACAATTTTTTTAAAAATTGATCTACTTGCATAGCTTTAGCTATTTAAATCTTTTGCATCTCTAGTTTTGAACAGTTCTGTATAAATTACTGCAATGAGAAACTTCAGCAACTCTTAATTGAGAGAACTCTAAAAGCGGAACAGGCAGAATATGAAATGGAAGGTATAGAGGTAAACATTTTGATGTTTTATCCTCATTTGACTTCTTAATCTAGTGAAAGATATTTACCTGAGAGATATGATTTCATTGGTGATTTTCCCTGATTAGTACTAAGAATTGTTTTTACTCCTTCTCTGCTTATTTCCTGGGAAATTATTTTGATATTCATAAAGTATTTTTTTTAATGTTAGAGATAAAAATCAAATTTTGGAAAAGATGTTGGAAAATCCTTTTAAAAGAAATATATTTTCTGTTCATCAAAACCCTTCTTGGAGAAATCTTTCCTCTTTGTCATTTTAGTGGGAGCCGATTCAGTATTTCAACAACAAGATCATCTGCGATTTGGTTGAAGAAAGACACAAAGGAATCATTTCTATTCTGGTGAGAAAGTTAATGTTGACTTTAGAGCCCATTCATACGGTATTTAGGACGCGTGGAAGAACTTTTCCCGAGGTTAGAAAGGGCTGGGAGTAGAATCCAGTAATGGTTGAAATATACAGATTGAGCTCTTTTGCCAAATTCTTGCTTGGAGTCTTAGGCTGTGCTTCCCCTCTCATTTCAGTTTGGAGACCTGTATGATAGGCCGCGGGGAGAGGGCCAGGAAAGGCCTTTGAAATGAGGGCATGCGTATCTATCTTCCACAGACATGGAGGGATGAGCTGGAAACCCGGGGACCCAGTGGGGGTGGGTGTCTGGTGGCAGCTGAGGAGGGGCTGCTTTCATGCTTAGCACTGAGCAGGAAGCCAGAAAAACATAAAGGAAGGCTTGATTAAAAAAAAAAAAAAAAATCCATTGAGTCCGAGCTGAGGCCATGGGGTGGGCCTGTGGCCTTGTTTTGGACTATTGGGTCTTCTGAGAACATCAGCGTCCTCAAATCCACAATTGTTCCAATTTCCAAATACCAATTTTTAAACCAAATTCTGCAGGCCAATGAGAAATGATTTTCTTGCCTTGCTTTTCATTCAGGACTGTCTACTCCACTCGTTGCCTCCCTTTTAATGAAATAACTGGCTCCCTTACCCCCCATTGCCCCACCTAAGTGCTGTGTGAACCCAGCATGGAAAGGTACAGCAGGGACATCAATGAATGGTGACTCTAGTTGCCAGGAACATGGGCACCACCTGGGTTCAAATCCCAGCCCCATTGCTTACTACCTGTGGAAGCTTAGGCAGTTCTTAACCTCTCTGAGCCCCGATTTTATCATCTTGAAGTGGGTAGAGTGATAACAGCGCTTACCTCAGAGAGGAGCTGCACGGACAAGTTCAGTGAGATGATGTACGCAGAGGGCTCAGCGCTATGCCCACTCCGTGGTACGCATTCAGACTGCATCCAACAAATACCAATGGAAATTACTTTGTGCCAGGATTGTGCGCGGTGCTTTGGGACACAGCAGTGCACCAAATGGATCAAAACACTCACACTCGGGAGGCTTTAAATCTAGCGTGGAGAGGCTGGCAGCAAATAGGTGAATGGGAAAAATCTGTAGGCTTGAGCAATGGAGAAAGAAGATAATATCAGATGTGCTGGGGAGGGGGCTCCATTTCAGATCAGATGGCCTAGGGAGGGCTCACTGAAAAGGAAAAGACCTGAAGAAAGCGAAGGCACCTGCCACATGCGCATCTGGGAAAGCGCCTTCCAGGAAGCGTGGGTGGAGATAAGCTGGTAACTGTGCACTCGATGCTCATATGGATTGCTAGGCTAGCCTTTTAAGATATTTAAGTAAAAAAAAAAATGCTTATTTCCATTGAATTTTCCACAGATGAAATCAGAAAGCATAGAAATACTATTTTATAAGAGTTGTCTCACCAACTTTAACCAGGTTTTTGTTGTTTTTATTGTTTCAATGAAAGCTACAGGCTTGATTTATCCTTAACTTTTTAAAGATGGTCAATTAAATATCATCGCTCTTGAGGACCCCAAACAGGAAATAGAAAGGCATAGCTGGTTGTATAGCAGGCTCTCCATGAAGGCTTTGCTCCAAGTAAAAGGGGGTATGTCCTTGGCCAGCAATGTGTAGTTAAGGCAAAAGGAGGCTGAGTGTTCGATTCAGCTGGGCCTGGAAGCTGTGAGTGTCCCTGGGAAGGCTTTGGAAATAGGCATCAGGTGGGCGACAGAGTTGAATTTTTTACATGGCGTTTCCAGGCTCTCTGGTTCCGTGGGGCCGTTGCCAAACCTGGAAAGCCGAGCACTTGTGATGGGTTAGGCGCCCTGCCCGGAAGTGTGTGCCTGCACTTGTGTGAGATGACAATATTTTGAGAGCCCAGTACACTCTGCCACAGCTGGTGAAAGCAGTTAGGCTTGGATGTGGAGGAGTCAGGGGCTATGGGTCGAGGCTTCTCTCTTTCCTTTGAAGGATGAGGAATGTATTCGTCCTGGTCCTGCTACAGACTTGAGTTTCCTGGAGAAACTGGAAGAGAAAGTGGGGAAGCACGCGCACTTCCAGACGTACGTATCTCATTGGCCAAGCTGTTGCGTGGAGGAAGATCGTTGCGTAGCCATAGCCATTTACCTGGGTATGTGGACAGTGCCCCAAGAGTCCAGCTCCGTCTTCATAATAGAAATACTGTTACGATGCACCATATCACGTGTAACAGGTCTCTGAATAACGTCATTTTGTTATAAGGTTGATGAGATGCCTTAGGAAGTTGACTCATTTGTATCAATTCGCCTACGGTAAAATCGGTTTTAGTGTATGTTGTTTTGCCACCATTCCAAGAAGCTATTCATTATGTTAAGTGAGGGCTTCCTGTATATGCATACCTTCTGTTAGTAAAAATCAAACCCAGATTCCAAGTCAAATCTTAAAAAGATTTTTGTATCTTGCTGTATTCATGATCATTTCATTTGGGATATAGCCATATGCATATGAAATAGTCTTTTTAAAAAAAAAATCAGGTATAACATACATATAGTGACGTATGTAGATCTGAAGTATACAAGCTGATGGATTTTTATATTTGTGTACCCACATATCAGCTACACAGATCCAAATGTAGAGCATTTGCAGCATCCCAGAAAATCATCTAGAAATTTAAGGTAGCCTTTGAGATGCGGAGAGCATTTCGGACGTATACTCTGGAGTCACAAAGGCCTTGCTTTGAATCCCAGTTCAGCCATTTATTAGACACTTGACCTTGGGCCAAGTAACACTCCTGCGTCTGTGTTTCGCGTCCTGCAAGGTGGGAATGTTAGGATTCCTACCGTGTAGAATTATAAATGATGGCACAAGTCACCTTGTGCAATTTCTGGCCGGATAGCTGGACTTCAGTAAATGGCAGTGGCTTTATCAAACCTGTTCTAGAAGGTTGAAAGGATACGTATGTGGAATTGGATAAGTAAATGAATCAAGAATGGAAAAGTAAACTATGGTATATTCACAAATGCAATCAAATATGGCCGTTAGAATGGCGATAACAATCTATAACTCCCCGCAATGATGTGTAAGAGGAATCATTGAGCTGTATATACTTAGGATATGTGTGTGTCAATGTACATATAGACATTTCAGGAGAACATTATTTAAAAATTCTGAATAACCAGAATCTGAACAATAATATTTCATGACTCTTTTCATCTCTTGACACCATAACAATGTGAGGGCGTAAGAGTGTTTCTTAGTTGTCACCTAGAAAATTGGAAGTTACTTCACAGTAAAAATAAACATGTTTCTGTGGTTCACGTATGGTTTTTTTCCCTCAGTGTTTTTCAGAAGAAGGGTCTAATTTTGGACCTTGGTCCCTAACCCGTGTGAGACAGGCAGCCAGGCTTCCCGGCCGCTGCCCCACGCACTCGGCCTTCAGGGCCGGCCCCCAGCTGACTGTTAGGGTCCTGCCCACCTGCCAAAGGCTCCTCTCTCTTTGCTCCATATTTTGGTGCATTTTGTGGCCGTGAAGTAGAAAGGTTCAGCTCGTGTCTGTTTCTGTCTCGCTGTAGCCGGAAGCTGGCGGGTGCAAGGGGCCGAAAGCGGATTGGCTGGATGGAGTTCCGCCTGTTCCACTACGCGGGAGAGGTCACATACTGCACCAAAGGTGAGTGCCCGTGGGGCGCAGGTCAGAGCCATGCAGTTGCCTCCGCGTCCGCTGAAGAAATGCCGCACACCCGTCTCACTATTCCCTAGCCCCATGTGCAGGCATGCTGCGTGAGAAGTCTTTTTTAAATTTATTTACTACACATATTACTATACACACACACACGCACACACACACACACACATCCACTTTGTCATAATTCACACATCATATATTCCACCCGTTTTAAGTGTACAGTTCAGTGGTTTTTAGTGTATTCATTTTGTGCAACTAGCACCACAGTCGATTTTAGAACATTCCACGCCCCGCAAAAGAAACCCCACACACAGTAGTGATCACTCCCATTTTCCCTGAGCCCCACCTCCCCGCGGCCCCAGACAGCAAACTAATCTGTTGTATTTTGTATCTCTGTATATTTTGCCTATTCTGGACATTTCATATAAATGGCATCACACGATACGTAGTCTTTTGTGTCTGTCTTCTTTCACAGAGCACAGCAATTGTCAACATTTTTCATCTCCGGGCACACATAAACTAATTAGTAAGATTCTCCAGCACACCAAAAAATACGTTTTTTTGCCAACCTGGCCACAATAATGTGACTGTACTTATGCCCCTGGACCATGTACTGAAAAATAGTTAAAACGGTAAATTTTATGTTATGTATGTTCTGTCACACTGAAGATGTTAGTTTTGATACCTCCCAATTGTCACCTAAAAAGGTTGTATCTTAGACATTTTTGATGCATGTCTTTTTTCTGATGCATGTCTTTTCAAGCTGATTTGGGCTTTACAATGACTCTTAGTTACTAATTAAATTATTAACTGATTAGGTTTTAAGTGACCCATGCCAACTTTTAAAACCGGAAGTGACATGTCTTCCTTCATATGAAGATGCCATTGGGCACCACAAGCCCTGGTGTTTGGGCTTTGATTTTTCTCAGTGGTGGAGCCGATTTTCATCCTTCTACGTAGTCTCCCCGGCAGCCCTTGAAGTTCAGTGCCCCTCCACTGTTTCAAGGTCATTCATCGTTTGCGCTGCTCTTTACTGCGAGACTAGGATGCGCATACAAGGCGGCACATTCATGTAGCTCATCAGGATTTAGAGTGTAGCCTGTGTGCTGTCAGCTCAGTTCTGAACACCGAGTTGTCCCGATGTCTCCCACAGGGACATCTGGCAGTGCCTAGAGACATATTTGTCACAACTGGAGAAGATGCTGCTGGCATCTTCTGTGGGTAGAGGCCAGGATGCTGCTTAATATCCAGGAATTGTCCAGCCTCAAATATCACAACGCCAAGGCTGAGAACTCTTGTTTAATCTTGAGGTTATTTTTAGGATTTCCTTTTTTTTAACCAATTAGGATGGAATTGCATTTTTACATATTGACTCAAAAAAAAACTTCTACTTGATATTTTGTAGGATTCGTGGAAAAAAACAGTGATATCCTCTACAGACACCTGAAAGAGGTAAGTCTGAAACGTAACTATATGTTTCTGATAGGAATGAACTATCACCTGTGGCACTGATTTTGGGTTGGTGTGTTCTGGATTTTCCTCTCCAGGCACTGTGTTAGAGCTCCATCATGCCATGGCTGGAACAGGCATTTAAGATCATCCATGTGAACCTTTCTCTTAATAAACCCATCCAAGTGTGTGTGGAGCCCTCCTGTGAGCCAGGCACGGTGCTAGGTCCGGAGTTTCAGGCTGGGAGGGGGAACAGTGGCCAAGAATAAATGCATATGTACGCCAATAAGTTACCCATCAGTGGCAAGTGCTGTGAAGAAAATAACCAAGGAACTGTGATTGAAGGGGCATTTTTAATTTCGTTCAGAGGATCAGAGAAAACCCCCTGTGGAGGTGACTTTGAGATGAAACCTGACCTTTGCCATGGAAAGATCGGGGTCACTCCAGGCAGTGGGACCGGCATGTGCAAAGGCCCTGAGGCCCAGGCAGCCTCAGTGCGTTTGGTGAGGGGTAACGCTAGGAGAGGGGGCTGAGAGCTCAGCAGGCTGAGGTCCCCACGGAGGAGCAGAGATTTTGTTCTGGTGCCATGGTAATACACTGGGGTGACATGAACTGCAGATGAGGAAACTGAGACCCAGAGAAGCAGTGACTTGCTCCAGGTCGCATCCCGAGGTGGGACTAGAGCCAGGAGTAGCCCCTGGGGCTAAGCCCAGTCTCCTTCCATATACCCTACCAGTAAGAAAAGCCTTGGGTTTTTAAAGCCTTTATTTTATGTTGAAATAGTTAACTATTTTGTACCGAAGTATATTTTAATACAAAATGAATTGTATTATATTTAATGAGCTTGGTTTATAAAAACCTTAGAGCTAGGGGCAACATCATTTGTGTGAACATGGAAATGGTTCGTCAGGGGAGTGTTTTCTGCCCTTCCCGTTCTTTCTCGACCACTTCTAGGATCCCCTGTTCCAACCTCAGGGATTCAGGATGGAGAAGCAATCCCTAACTTCGGATCTCTGCTCCAGGCAGGTCTCTCTGGGTCTAAATGTCAGCCCAACACTGTCCTGGCTGGAGGTCTCATGACAGATGGACCTGCCAGTGAAGTGGGTCCGATGGCGCCTTCCTCTAGAAGTCCCCTTAAATGACACAGGAAGGAAGGGCCTGGCTGACAGATGGAAGATATAATTTCTCTCCCAATTTCCCCCTGTGGGCCGGGCCTCCTCTCTGCATGAGCCCGTCCACAGAGGCGCTGCTACGGGAAGAACCACGGAGTCTGAAACTCCACCAGCCAGACAGGTGCTCCTTGTACTTTTTGTTTTTAAAGATTTTATTTATTTACTTTTTAGAGGAGAAGGGAAGGAGAAACAGAGGGAGAGAAGCATCAATGTGACAGAGATACATCAATCGGTTGCCTCTTGTAGGCCAGGAATCCAACCGTCGACCTTTTGGTTTGCAGGCTGGCACCCAATCCACTGAGCCACACCAGCCAGGGCTTCTTATTTTTTTCTTTTTTCAAAATTTTGAGATGGGTCACTTCTACTTTTTTCTCTTCTCTGCAGTTTACTATTTCATGACGTTGTAAGATTAGAGTTGGAATTAAACAAGAGAATATATTTTTTATTTAAAAACTTTTTAAATTGTGACAAATCATATACAGGGTGGGCAAAAGTTGGTTAATTATGATACTAAATACAATAATTAATCATATAATAATGTAAGAATAAACTGTGTTTTGTGTAACTGTAAACCTACTTCTGCCTAACCCAGTATAACAAAGTTTACCATCTCGACCATTTCAATTGAGATATAATTGATGTATAAGAGTGCACTAGCTTTAGAGGTACAACAGAATAATTTGCTATTTGTGTTTATTGAGAAATGATCACCACAAATTTAGTCAGCATCCATCACCTCACATTGTTACAATTTTTTTTTCTGTGAGAAGGGCTTTTAAGATTGACTCTCTCATAGCAACTTTATATACGCAATGCAGTTGTTTTAACTGTGGTCACCCTGCTTTAATGTCACGTCCCCGGGACTTCCTTGTCCTAGGACTGACGTCTGCACCTTCGACCCCCTTCATCCTGTTCACCCACCTCTGCACCACTCCCTGCTGTGGGCGGCCTCCAAGCTGTTCTCTGTGTCTGTGAGTTTGGGTTTCTTTTTTTTTTTTTTTTTTAGAGTCCACATATAACTTAGATCATCTTAGCATTTTTAAGCGGTCAGTAATGTTAAACACATTCACACTGTTGTGCAAACATCACCACCGTCTGTCTCTAGAACTCCCTTTATCTTGCAAAACTGAAGCTCTGCACCCATGGAACCCTAACGCCCCGTTTCCTGCGCCCGCCCCCGGGGGCCCACCCTTGCGCTGTCTGACTCTATCGGTCTGACCGAAGTGGAACCGTTCAGTGTTCGTCCTCTTGTGAATGGCTCACTGAGCACAATGTCCTCAAGGTTCATCCATGTTGCAGCACGTGTTAAAATTTTCTTCCTTTTTAAGGCTGAATGATATTCCATTGTATGAATGTAAGGAACACGGTTTTTCGTGTTGAATGAAATCCTTTAAAAATTAAAGACTTTTGGTAATAGAAATTATTTTGAAATAGGGAAAATAATACAGATTATGTTGCACAGGGGGAAAAAAACCAAACAGAACAAAAGCCGGTGTCCTTGGCCCCGCGCCACCACGTGGGTCTCCCGGAAGCCAGCTGGTTGTGTGCTCTTCCAGAGCTGGTACTGTGTGTGTGCGTGTGCGTGTGCATGTGCGTGTGCGTGTGCGTGAGCGTGAGAGAGAGTATCTCTCCCATCTCCATTTCTCCTCCTCTTCACACAATAGCCGCACACCGTGCATGTGGTCCTACACCTTGCTTTTTTCACCTAACACCATGCCTTTTTTAAAAATTAACTTTATTTGGGCCACATTGGTTAGTGACATATATACACATTTCAGGGGTACAACTTTATAACGCAGTATCTGTCGCCGCTATCGTGTGCTTGCCACCCGAGGTCCCGTCTCCTTTCGTCACCGTCGTTTCGACCCTCTGTGTCCTCTTCATACCCCCCCCCCTTCCCTCTGGTGACCACCATGGTATTGCCTGTGTCTTCAAGTTTGGTTTTTTTGTTTGTTTTCTTTATTCATGTATTGTTTTTGTTTGTTTTATATTCCACACATGCATGAAGTTACACGGTTCTTGTCCTTTTCTGACTTATGTCACTTATAATGATACTCTCCGGATCCATCCCTGCTGTTGCAAATGGCAGTGTTTCATTGTATAGACGTATATACCACGTCGTTTATCCACTCATAAGTTGAAAGACATGTAAGTTATTTTCCGGTCTTGGCCACTGTGAATAACGCCGCAACGAACATAGGGGCGCATATATCTTTACAAATAACTGGTTTCCACTTTTTTCAGATGGACACCCAGAAGGGGGATTGCTGGGCCATACGGGAGCTCTGTTCTTAATTTTTTGGGGCAGCCCATACTGCTCTCCATAGCGGCTGCCCCACCAGCACCGTGAGAGGCTCCTCTTTCTCCACATCCCCCAAACGCTCGTTATTTCCTGTCTTGTTGATAATGGCCATTCTAACCGGCGTGAGGGGGCATTGCGTTGCAGTTTTGATGTGCATTTCCCTAACTAGCGCCATGGGGCATCTTTTCCCATGTGTCATCTGTATGTCTTTGGCAACCATTCTTAAAGAGCCCACTTATCCCGGAGCAGCGGGCTGGACTGGGAACAACTATGGCTTCATTGTGTCAGAGGAAAAACAGCCAGAGGCCTCGCCCAGTAGGAGGAGCAGTGGCTATAGTATGGGCACATTTCCTTCCCCACTTGATTGTGTTTTTCCCCCTCTTCTTCAAGCATTCCCGAAGCACATGGCTCCGGTCCGCCGTGCACACTTACGTGAGCTTTTCGGAAGGCCCCGTAGTGATTTCTGAAGCAATGCACATGGTACTCACCTTTCTTTGCTGACAGGTGCTGTGCAGGTCCAAAAACAGCATCCTGAAGGAATGCTTCCGGGTGGCCGAGTTGGAAAACCGGAGAAGGTCGCCAACGGTGAGTAGGAAAAATGCGCACGTGAAATTGGAAAGATAGCAAAAATCACCCAGAGGGTGCATGCAATTCTTTCCGCTACCTACCCCTTTGAACGCCTCCCCTTTTTCTGGAAGCATCACTCTTCAGCAGGTTCTATTAAATATTATTTTCCAAGGTCAGCGATCATTTGCAGACTTTCACCGATCACCTGCTGGGTGAGACACTGGGCAGAGCACAAGGGACACAGCAGGAACAAAGCACACTAGGTCCCCGAGCTCATGGGGCTTACGATCTAGTGGAGGAGGGTGTGGGAAAGTGCCAGCTTAAGTAGGGTGAGTGTCCCAGAGGAAGCTCCGAAACAAGGGAACAGGAATCGGGGCGGGGCTTGGCAGTGCGGCTGGCTCCTGCGAGGCGCTAACTGTCGTACTTGCTGAGTGAGTGAAGCATTCTGGGTAGATGCTTGTCCAACCTCTGCTTACCCAGATGGAGCTTGGACTTCTCAGGCCAGGACATCCAAGGCCTTCTCTTAATGGGTGAAAATCTAACAGGTAGAACAGTCTGTTGAGAGTTTGGGTCTAAAGGGCCAGAGTCTTGTGCCCTAACCAGTCTCTTTGGTATTAATTGGGAGCAGCAATGTCTATTCAGCTCATTCTCTCTCCTTGCAGGTGGGGACTCAGTTTAAAAACAGCCTGAGCAGCCTTCTGGAAATTCTCATCTCCAAGGAGCCTTCGTACATCCGCTGCATCAAGCCCAATGAGAAGAAGGAGCCCAGTGAGTTGTGAATCGTTCTGAACACTGAGCTCAGGGACATGAGGCTGAGAGGAAAACCGAGACGGCGGTGGGTTAAAATCCTGAAAACCCCCACAGGCTCATCCTTGTCCTGTGGACATAACTTGTTTTCATTTTTAATGATAAAAAGTAAATAAATGGGGGTGGAGGGGTGATTCTGAGTAGGCACCGCTCAGATTTTGGCCCATTTCAGGTGCAGCACAGCTGAGTCAGCTAGTGAACAGTGTTACAAAACCGTCTATGACTCGGCTGTTTTCTAAACTCATGCCATGGTCTCTAACAGAGTCGTATAGTCAGAGGCTTACAGGGGCCAGGCAGGCAGAGCAAATGAGTGAAGCCGACTGGGCATGAGGCGATAGGGAGTGGAGGGAACTGCGGCAAACTGGAGAGGGCACACTGTTAAAGAGGCAGCACTGTTCCTTCCAGCTCTTGTCATGTGGGTCTCTAGGCCAAAAATAGCCAGATCTTAAGTTTTTCAAGAGAAACCAGAAGCCCAGGTTTTCCTGTAAATCCCCCATTAAATAAATCTCAATTAGGGCCTGACAAAACCCGCCGTGGCTAGACCCAGCTCACAGGTCGTCAGCCTGTAGCCTCTCTTCTGGCCTCTCTCGGTTGAAATGGACCCCTGGAGGGGGGGGTGTCCTTCACTGCCACTCTCCCTTCTGTGTTTCCAAAGGCAAGTTTGACGACTTCCTCATAAGGCACCAGATCAAGTACCTGGGGCTGATGGAACACCTGCGTGTAAGACGGGCCGGCTTCGCGTACCGGCGGAAATATGAGCATTTCTTGCAAAGGTGAAGTTTGTTTTGGTGATTTGAAGCCAGTAAAGTCAAACACCTGGGGTTGTCCCTCCTTATCCGTGGAGGATACATTCCAAGACCCCCAGCGGATGCCTGCAACCACAGATAGTGCCAAATTTTATGTATATGCTGTTTTTTCCTAGACATACATACCTATGATAAAGTTTACTTTATAAATTAGGCACAGTGAGAGATGAATGATGATAACTAATAATAAAATAGAACAATTAGAGTAATATACACAATAAAAGATATGTGAATGGGGTCTCTCTCAAAATACCTTATTATACTGTACACATCCTTCTCCCTGTGACAATGTGAGATGATAAAATGTCCTAAGTTAAGAACTTCCACGTTTTCACTTAAAGGAAGCTTTTTGTGGCTTCCCTTTGGCACATCCGAATTGCCATCGACACTCCCCTTGAACAAAAGCACTGCAACGCTGTGACGGTGATGTCATAGCTTAGAGGGCTACTAAGTGACTAATGGTCAGATAGCGTATACAGCCTAGAGACAAAGGGATGATTCACATCCTGGCTTTCTGGGTGTGCCTGTCCTCCCTCCAGGTACAAGTCCTTGTGTCCAGACACCTGGCCGCACTGGCGGGGGCCTCCAGCAGAGGGCGTAGAGCGGCTGATCAAATACATTGGCTACAAACCGGAAGAGTACAAGTTAGGGAGGTAAGTGGCTGGGAAATCCCTGTCACAGTATTTCAGTTGTTGAGCCATATCCATCTAGAGCCCAGAGATTCACTTTTCAGGAAATTGTGTAGATATATAAGCAGATACGTCCATCCACTCAATTTAAATGCAACTCTTTTAAAGAGAGAAACTCTCCTGTGTGTGTCTCCCTCAGTCGCAGGATTTAACCTACTCAGCACACCCTGCAACACTTCTGACACCAGCTGGTGTCGCGTTTAACTCAGCTCTGACACTGTCCACCCGGAGATAGTGTCCGAGCCCACAGGTGATGGCCCAGACCTGTCAGACAGCTCCTTCCCCACAGCCACAGCAGAAGCCTATCCCAAGTCCAGGCTGCTACCTATGCTTCTGACTGAAGGCTGCTACCTATGCTTCTGAGTTGGAGGTTCCCACCGGTCCCTCCTTGGGTTTGGATAATTTGCTGGAGCAGCTGACAGAACGGAGGAAAGCATTTCACTTAGTACATTACTGACTTATTGTAAAGGGGTGTAACTGAGGAATGGCCAGATGGAAGAGATGCACAGGGCAAGGCCTGTGGGAAGGGGCGGAGCTTCCACACCCTCTCCAGGTGCACCCAGCAGCTCTCCAAACCATGTCCTTGTGGGGTTTTTATAACAAGGGTTTTGCGAGCTGTGACACTGGTTTGGGGCAAAGATCAAATATGCACTTCTTATAATCTCTAATATCATAGACTCGAAATGCTCAGAAGGGCAATATTGTCACCTGTTGGAGAAGATTAAGTTATTATACAGGAGCCCTGTGTTCTAAACCTCACAGAGGCCTGGAGTGAACCTCTGCTTGAAAAATGAGGAGGGGATCAGGGTGGTACCCTAACCTTTGCATGTTAGAGTCTCACTGTTCACATTAGAACAGAGCTTCTTGGAGGGGATATTAGAACTTCTGTGACATGGAGGTTCCTCCAGCTGGGATTGTCCCGAGCAGGGTAGCTTCTGCACACATTGAAAGCTTCGAGGTAAAGCGCATCAGGGTGAACCGGGAAGATTTGCGCCTGTTCTCTTAGTCATTTTGGTTCATTTGGTTGCAGGAACAGTGCCCAAGCATGAAGAGGGTCCATTCCCAGGCCACTGAGATTCCAGCTTCAGGGGTCTCTCTCTGCCTTTGAATGTACCAATAGGCTTTCCCGGTCACCATCAACATCCACTTGCACAAGGCTGTCTGCGGCCACTCTGGCCCCTCTCCATCTTCACACGTCTGTTCTGGACCCTGCTCCAAGAAGCAGTTGTTTTTTCCAAGCCAGATCCCCGAGAGGAATGGGGCTTAGCACATCCTGAGGGAGGCAGGCCAGGGAGGTCAGAGGGCGGGATCAATCCTGGTCTGTAACTGAGATGGTGAGGTGGGATCCTGTGGCTTGGCAAGCTGCTGCCCCCAGTGGCTGTCCTGGGAAGTTTCCCTCCAAGGGTAGGTGGGTGAGGCAGGCATTGCAGGTCCCTGTCTACAATTGATCTCTGCTCATTAGATCCATATTCTTTGTCATCACTTTAAAGCTCAGGAAAGTAACCGCAGGTGAGGATGATGTATTAGTTTTCTAGGGCTACAGAAAAAATGAGCACAAACTAGCCAGCTTAAACCAAAAGAAATTCATTCTTTCGCCGTTAATTCTACAAGCCCAAACTCAAGGTGTTGGCAGGGCCCTGCTCCCTCTGAAGACTTTGTGGGAGGATACTTCCCTTCTCTCAGCTTCCAGTGGCTCCTACATTCCTTGGCTCGTGGCCACATCCCTCTAGTCTCTGCCTCCACCTTCACATGGCCTTCTCCCACGGGCCTCTCTGTGTGTGCTTTCCTGTCTCCTTTAAGGACGCTCTTGGATTTAGAGTCCACCCTAATGATCTCATCTCAGTCCTTCCCTTGATTACATCTGCAAAGACCATATTTCCAAACAAGAATCATCACATTCTGAAGTTCTGAGTGGACATGAATTTGGGAGAAACACTATTCAACCCACTACACATGTTAACTGACCAATTAATAATTAAAACTCTTCTTTTTTCACTTCTAGAACCAAAATATTCATTCGTTTCTCCAGAACCATATTTGCTACTGAAGATGCCTTTGAATTTAGTAAACATCAATTAGGTATGGTTTGTTTTTTCTCTGGCCTGACTTTAATAGAATGTGAAATGAACAAGATTAGCTTGGGATACATCTTACACATGGTGTTTGCTCTAATGTTAGGAGCATTGGCTTTGGAAAGCAAGGACAAGATACGGGATTATGATAAAGATACATGTGAATTTATGCGTTAGTGAGTGTTTGGAGGTCGTCGTGGATGCACATGGAAACAAACACTGTAGTGTCGCCCAATTCTAGTTTGGATGGAACTCTGTTGTCCCGTGGGAGTCTGTCCCCCTTAAATGAAGGATTTAAAAACTTCATTTGTACAACTCTCTGATGTTGGATGGTGTAACTTCAAAGCCTACAGCCAGGGTGTTTGTTGTGAACGGTAGCTGAGAAAAGTTAGATGATGGGAAAATGCAAACAGTGAAAAAGTAAAACTGCCGGGGTGAGGGGGGGCCAGGGCTTCTTCCTTGAAACTGGCCTGGTGAGGAAGGCGCCGCATGAGCAGTCTGGGCGCTCGCTGTGAGCCGGTGCGTACTGAGTCCTTCATGCTCATGATCTTGCCGTATCCTCAGAACACATCTAGGGACTGAGACGATCACCTCCACTTCCCAGTCAGGGTCACTGGGGCCCAGCGGGGTCGGTCCCTTGCTAGAGGCCACACAGCTAGTTAGCAGCAGAGCTGGGGTTTGAACGTGGGTGTCTGGCTTCAGAACCTAGACTCTGAACTGCTGTGCTGAATGGTCTCTTTTCTTGACCCTTACACAGCAGTGGGCCCCGATCGCTGGGATCTGGTTGGTGGGCAGGTGCTGGCTGCGGGGGGCCTGAGCCAGCGTGTCGCACCGGCTCCCCGGGGATGGGACAGGAACGGTTTGTGCGACCCTGGAGGAGCTTGGCCCGCGGTGGGACCTGTCACTGGGAGGAGGTGGGTGGAGAGAGGAGGAGCTACAGGAGGAGGGTGTGTGGTCCTGCAGCCCTGGGGTCATACCCTGCTGTAGTAGCTGCATTGCCTTGGCAGCTAGCAAGTTAGCAAGTTAGCAAGTTTCTTCGCTGCTTGACCTGCATGCCCGTTAGTAAAACATGCTGGTACCCGCCTTGCGGGGAGGTGTGGAGCGGTTGCGGTGAGGATAAAATGTCACTCCTGACATGGAACCAGGGTGCTCTAGATGGTGGCTCTGGCTCTTCCCTGGGGGGACCCAAGAGGAAGGAAGAGGACACTCCAGTTACTGGACAGCTCTGGCAGCCAGGCTTAAGGTGACCCTGCTGAATCGGCTTCCTGTCCCCTCAGCGCTGCGTGCCCTGAAGGTCACTTTTGACATCCCCCATCGAGGTCACAACTGCAACAATGCCCATGAAAAGTCATTTCACCAAAACTTTTGTTTTATTTTAAGTTGCAAGAATTCAGGCCACATACAAAGCCTGCCTGGAAAGAAGAGCCTATGTGAAAAAAAGACAAGCAGGTAAGAATTAAACAGAAACTTCCCAGCTTGCAGTGGGCCCCGCAAGTTCTCTCCTTTGGCCCCCGTTGTCCTGGAAACACAGTTCCCTTGCGCCTCCGCTCCCCCAGCCCGTCCTTGGGACCTTGGTGTGGGGCGGCCTCGGGATCCAGTTCTGGTGCCTCTTCTCATAGAAATGGACCGGAGACTCTCTCGACCAGAGATTATAGCGTAGTGGTCTGTATTTGTTCCATGGACATGTTTTATTTGACCCACAATATATGCATATTTAAAGAAAACGTTTTTAAAGTTTACCAACACCATGAGTGCCCTTGGGGTCTCCTTTTCTCTGCCCCTTCCCAACCACTTCTCATCCGCCCCCTCCAGTCTTCTGAATGCTGCATTTATAATTACCTTGGGTTTTTTAAAATAGTTTTCCCATCCATGGATGCACCGCTCAATGTAATTATAGGCTGGCATGATTTGACCCTAATAAAATTATACTGTATTTTTTGCAACATTTTTGTGCTCTAACCTGTTTTGCAGATTGAATCAGTAAATGTTTAGTTATTCATTTTCATAGTTGCATCGTCGTCCACTATATCAGAGGTCTGTGAAGTTTTTTCTTCAAGGGCCAGATAGAATTTCAGACCTGTGGGTCATACGGTTTCTCTTACAGCTCTCTCAGCTCTGCTATCGTAGAATGACAGTAGCTCTACACAAACACATAAATGAACGGGCAGAGAAGTGTTGCAGTTAAACGTCATTTCTAAACAGGTGGTCACCCCGAGGGCCATAACCTGCTTTCCCCTGTGCGTGTAAACGAGTATATACAATTTAGCTGTTCTGTTGGTAGACATTTGGGTTGTTTCCTGTGGGTGGGTTTGTTTTTGGAAAAAATGAGGAAAAAAAAAGCATGCAAAAAAATCTGGATTAACTGAGAATAATATGAAAAGCATTTAAAAATTGGGCAACAAGCCAGAAATCACATTTTTGAGTCCCAATTTGTTTATGTATCCCAATTTTTAAATGTGGACAACTAAATCAAAGTAAACATGGAGAAACAAACCACACACAGTGGTAAGACAAACGTATGCCGTCACAAGCACCAGGCCCTCGTCCCTGAGAAGGACCTTGGGAAACGAGGGCGCCTTCGTGTAACTTCGGCCTTCCCTCGAAGCTTCCCATAGCGCCCCGTGGCCTTCTGCCTTCCTAGTGCAGGGTCCCTCTGAGCAGCCCCAGGTTAAGACCTGATGACGTTCACCGGGCTCGCCGAGGGCCATGGCGGGCGTGTGGACGTCTGTGCCATGGATGGCTAACTCTGAAACAGCCTTTTGCATTTAAATACGAGTGCACCCACCTTCTAATGCTGGCAGTGAACTCTTTCAGCCATCAAACTGGAAACCCACTGGCGTGCAGCCCTGGCTCGGAAGGAGATGGAAAGGAGAAAGTGGGCCGTGCACACTATAAGAAGGTAAGTTCTTGGGTACAGCGCTGGGGTGCTGCAGAGCGTTTTTGGATTTGTGCAGAAACCTTCCTTTGGGGCGGTCAGCCCTCAGGAATTGAGTTCTTTCCTCTGTGCATCCTAAGTTGATGGCCATCACAACTCAGTGCATTTGTAGTTTCTTTTAGTTGAGTTCAAAGGTCACAGAGTCAAATGCCTTCTGATGCCAGGCAGGCAGAGTAAGTGAGCCTCATGAGCTGGAATAGTAAGGCTCAATGGGGACCGCAGCAAACTGGAAAGCTCGCTGCACCTCGGGTGACAGCCTCCGGGGAGAAAGGCCAGGCAGCATTGCCAGATCTTCTGATTTTCCAAGGAAAGCTGGAAATCTGGCTTCCATGTAAACCTACTTTTTGTTGTTGGCAACTAATTGAAGCTCTTCAAAACAAAACCAGAAATAGTATGGGTGGAACAGAACAAATCCTTGGGGCAGATTTGGCCTGTGGGCAACATTACGGGCTCTGGCCGACAGGACCACCTAAGGCAGGGCGTCCAGCCTTTTGGCGTCTCTGGGCCACACTGGGGGAACAGTTGTCTTGGGCCACACATAAAGTACACAAACACTAATGAAAAGAAATGAGGGGGAAAAAAAAGGTTTTAAGTAAATTTATGATTTTTGTGTTGGGCTGTATGTACAGCCATCCTGGGCTGCATGCGGCCCGTGGGCTGCGGGTTGGACACATACTCTCCACCATTTGCCATCCTCTGAATCAGGTGAATGAAGAGAACCCGGTGATGAAATAGGTTGGAAAAGTAACAAAACACTTTCCTGTGTAGGTTCATAAAGGGATTCATCAATCGAGACAAGCCCCTCTGTCCTGACAATGAGTTGTTTATCGTGTTCATGCGGAAGAATTACATCTTGAATCTTCGGTATCACGTCCCAAAGAATGTCTTGGACAAGAGCTGGCTGATGCCTCCCGGCATCTTGAGAAACGTAAGCACTCCACGGGGACTCCCGTTGCAAGTGACGTGGGCGCTGATGGAGCTTTTGCGCTTCTTTGCGCTGCCGCCCTTGGCCTGAAAGGGCCGCCTTAACCAAGCACTGCCTCGCAAGGGCGTTGCACGAGAAATTTCTCTCAGAACCCACAGTAGCCTTACTGCGAGTATAAAGCCGCCATTGCAGGTCTCTACATGGAGCACTTTTCAGTGGTGTCTAGCCTTCCAGAAGGGTTAGGTGACTGTCACCGATAGCAGTGTTTCTCTAAAGATGGCCCGAGGACCCCCTGTGTACTGTATGATTCTCGGGCCCTGACCTGGCCCCACTGAGTCAGCATCACAGGAATCTCATTGCAGACAGCTGCCGGTGACTCAAAGACACCCAAGAACCACTAGCTTAGCAGTAGCAAAAAGCTAGCACACAAATGGAACTGAATTCAGCTATGCTTGGAAAGCTTCTGTTTGGGTGGCCACAGCCTAAGGCAGGGTGTGAGCGGGGCAGGTGGAAAAGCAGCGCATGCTCCACGCAGGCATCGGATCTGCTCAGGAAGATGTGCACGAGGAACCTGGTTCGGAAGTACTGCCGTGGGATCACCGCCGAGAGGAAGGCGCTGGTAGGGACGTGGGCTGCGTGTGGCGGCAGATGGCTGAGGGGCGGGCGCCGGACTAGTAGTTAGCAGGCCCAGCCACCATTCCACCTGTAAGCCAGGGGTCCCGCCAGGCCCATGCCTTGTGCACACACTGACGATGAAACACGTAGGCCACTCAGCACAGAGCCGGTTAAATAGCATCGCTCACGTCACCACCACCGTGGGAAACTATTCAGATGGCCCCTGCAGGGCAAACACAGGACCCGTCAGCTGGAGGTCTGGTTTTGTATATGCTTGTCTGCAGGTCAGCAGGCTTTTCCCAAACAGAGCTAGAGAGTAAACACCGCAGGCTTTGCAGGTCACAGGACCTCTGTGTTACAATTACTCAATGCTGCTGTTACAGCCCTCGAGCAGCCAGAGACAACGTATGCTGAGCAGCATAGCTGTGCTCCAATAAAACTTTACTTACACACAACCAGACAGGATGCTCGAGTTGGCTCGTGGGCTGTAGTTGGCCGATCCCTGACCTAGAAACTGCTCCCTGAAATTTTGAAAATCCCACTCCCAGAAGGCCATTGCAAATAGGAAAAAAACAAGCATTAAGTATCAACTCCGTTTAGGGCATTGGGCCAAAGCCAAGATTATGTTCTGTTTTCCGTGTGGAAGTACAACAAAGTTCCCAGACCTCACCCAGGAAAGTGTGCAATGCTTGGGCCTCCAAGCCCTGCTGTCCCAAAGTCCTCTGGCTACCATTTCTGTGCCGGAATTCATCTGAATTATGTGTCACCAGATGCAGCAGAAGGTGGTCACCAGTGCAGTGTTCCGGGGGAAGAAAGAAGGCTATGCAGAAAGTTTAAATCGACCCTTCGCCAACAGTCGGATAGGTGAGCACATGTTTCCATCTGTGTACTCCTGTTCCTATTTTTTAAAAAAGTCAAAGGAACAATGTTGAGCTCTGTAGCACTTCCTGATGGCTCTTCCCCAGCTGAGGTCTTGGTCACAGAGGGGCACAAAGCCAGCAGATGCCGGTGGCCTTTGCCTTGGGTGGTATGGGGCGATGACTCACTGTGCCCTGGTTCTCTCCCTAGATGAAGGAGACATTAATCCCAAAGTGCTGCAGCTCCTCAGCAACGAGAAGATCCAGGTAAGGGAGTGTGGGTCCAGGGGCCGACAGGGGTCCCCCGCGGCGTCAGCACAGGGTCTGCCCTCAGCGTGGAGTCGGGGAACGCTGCGTGCCTGCAGGGGTGCGTGTGCGTGCGCCGGGCTCGTGACTGAGACACTCTGGGTACTAGCTAAGGTTTGGGGGCCACGACTGTTCGATCCCCGTTGCTGTTCTCATGGTCCTCATCAGTCCCCCAGGACCTGTTTGGTTTTCTGGGAAGCTGAGGGAACGACGGCCAGGAGCTTGATCATTACGTGGGCCCTCATAATGGGCCATACGGCAGGGCGCCCGGGAGCTGATTGGGCTTTGTCACGGAGTAGCTGTGTGATCCGGAGAGGTCAGGGAAGCTCTAGGTGGCAATCCTGGCTGCTCTGTCACTTTTGGTCCCCTGGAGAACAGAAACCTGAGTGGGATCAGCCTCGGGCTGAGGTCTCTGTGAATGCCCACAGAACGTTCTAGGGAGGTCATCTTTGTTGCCCTCGCAGAGGAGACCTGTGAGGCAGGTGGCCGTCACCGGGACCCCCTCAGAAGGGCAACACCAGAGGCAGAGCTAGGGATCAAAACCTACCTGGCAGGGGGCCGGGGTGCCAGAAAAAAACGTTTATGCAGAATGTGGCCAAGCCTCGGAGCGCAAGGGTTGCCCGTGTTGCCGTTGGAGTGACCAGGAGCTCCGGGCTTTGCCCCACCCCCCAGGAGGGACCCTTCCCCTCGTAGTGACCGTAACCTCCTTGCAGTACGGCATCCCGGTCATTAAATATGACAGGAAAGGCTTCAAGGCGCGACCGCGGCAACTCATTCTCACTCAGAAAGCAGCTTATGTGGTGGAGCTGGCCAAAATCAAGCAGAAAATAGAGTACTCAACGCTCAAAGGTAAGATGCAGGGCATCTTCAGGCAATTCGCTGGGCTGACGTAGGTCCTGGGCATGCCCCCCGCCCCCGTGACACCGCCCTTAACTGGGAGACATCAGCATCGGGGGGCTGCCAGGGGAAGTATCCGTGTCCCCCTCACTCAGGTACCCAGGCTGGACAGCAGTCACCTTTTACAGTGACCTGGTTTTTATTCAGGGCACGACCTCTACTGCCCAGCAGCACGCGGGCTGTTGGGGCGGCCCTTCACCCCACTGGGGCCCAACGGGGAGGGGAGCATGTGGGGCGGGGGAGCCTCGGTGCCCCTCCTCTTTTAGCTGTATCAATGTCAAGTTGTCCGGCTCCTGGCTCCTAACTCTGCGTCTGTCTTCAGGTATCTCTACTAGCAATCTGAGTGACGGAATCTTAGTCATTCACGTGTCACCAGGAGCCAACAAGCAGAAGGTAATTGACAGCCACCTGTCTCTGCTACTGCATGTTGCGTGGATTACTGTGCAACCGCAACACTGGAAACATGTTCCTTTAAGTCGCCACCTCTGAAACTGTCCCGTCCTGTCCTTCCCACCTCAGGGGGACGCCGTCTTACAGTGTGAACACGTGTTTGAAGCGGTTACTAAGCTTGTCATGCTGGTTAAAAAGGAGAACATTGTAAATGTTGTTCAAGGAAGGTAGGTGATTTCACCTTCAGCCAAGGAAGTTAACTCACTGTTAAAGCGTTTATTAACGAGCCAAGGAACATGGGAACATGCATTGTCTTACCCATGCCTGCCTCCCAGTAGGGGGCGGGGAAGGAGCCTCTAGTGGTGTCCCCTTGCCCTGCTGAGGAGGAACTTCCTCCTTCACCCCATGACTGGGATTCCGGAGACGTGGAGAAGATGGTGCTCACTCTCCAATCTGAGGGAGCAGTGGTTTACCATCCCCAAAGGAGGGGCTCGTGTGCTGGAGGGAACTGCCACAAGTGAAGGCTGGACCTTGGGGCCAGGGCAGGTGACAGCCGCACCTTTGCCGTCGAAGCCTGTTTTTTGGGGACAGGTGGTTAAGCACAGCGGGGCCTCCCTTTTGCAGGCCGCATACAGGCTGATTAGGGAAAAGCGCTAACATTTCTTCAGGATACAAAAGAAAAATACCAGGCACATAGAGTACTTAATGCCGTTCCCTCAACAGCTCTGAAGCAGGTGGCACCTTGGCCACTTCACAGGCCCCAGGTGGCTAACCAGCATGTGGACTGTCACACAGCTGGTCAGGGACGGTGCACCATGTCCTAAGGCCACGCTTCTCCTTCGGGGGCTGAGTCAGGCACTGCGCCCCCAGCCCTGCTTCCAGAGCCCCAGGAAAGCAGGCTGCTCCCTCAGACTCCTGCTCCTATTACATCCTGGTCTTTACAGCCTGATGAGTGAATTCCCACGTGGAACAGGGAGCGCTGCCTACGCCGGAAAGTGGTATCTGTGTTTTATTCTACCTCTGGCGGCAGACCTGGCCCCCTACGAGAGCTGCAGAGTGAGGATGGATACATAGTTATTCAGGCATCAAACTGGCCCTTGGACTGAATGTGCCATATGCAATAGAACAGGAATTCAATCCTGAGTCTAGTAGAACTTCGTTAAGTAAGTCCCTTTTTGCAGACCAAAGGCTGAGAGGAAAAGAAAAAAATAGACTCTGTCAGTAATTCATTGTTTTGTGTATTTTAAGTTTACAGTTTTATATTAGTCCTGGAAAAGAAGGCACAATAGTTTTCGACACCGGACCAGAAGAACAAATCCATAAAGATAAAAATGGACAGCTAACAGTGGTGAGTGGCCGTGTTTGGGGACGGGGTCAGCAGTACGAGACGAGAATAAAGGTTCAAACTCCACAATCTCAGTCCTTCTACAGACTGACTAAAATCATAAGCTACTTCCTCTCTTTCTGGTCCTGATTTTACATCTGGAAAACAGGAAGGAATAGAGTCAAACACCGAGTGAAAAGGGAGAAAAAGTTGACTCACATTTCACATGAACCAGAAGATGGCATGAAATCCTCCTTGGTTTCCAGTGACAAAGCAGACTTGTCACTGGACGGTGAGGGCGTTATGCCCCATCACCGTGATTCTCAGACTCCCAATTGGAGCTTCCTGTTTGCATCTCACCCCCAGACACTGCGATGAGTTGGCAGGGGGCGGGGCCTGGGTTTTGGAACATAAGCACTGCGTGGTCCGAGGAGCCGAGGCCCGGGCGCCGCTGCCATCCGAGGAGGAGGTCGAGTGCCTGTGCTTGGCCCTCGCTGGCCAGTGGGGCACAGAGCTGGTTCCAATCCAAGCCCGAAGATCAAGTCTCTGAGGCACCGAGCCCGCCTTCCTGCCTGACCGTCTCGGGCTGAAAAGCCTAACAGGCCTCAGTGAGCCCATTTCTAAATGTGGCTTCTCGAAGCGCCTCCAAACCTACCTGGATGAGGTCGGGGTAATAACCGCTTCCTTCTGAGTGAGGCAGGTGAGAGGCCTCAGATCCTAAGCGTGGACTCTCTTCCAGGTGTCTGTCTGCATGAAGTCCTGATAGAGGAGGACGTCTGGTGGAGGAAAGCACCCCGGAGGCGGGGATTTGATCCAGGAGGCTACCTACACCTTCCAGGAAAGGTGACAGCAGCTCTAGGAGAAGGGGCCTCTCCGCTGAAGGCATAGAGGGACGGCTTATGCCAGAGCTGCCCCCGCCTCTCGGGCGCCCTGGGCCCTGAACTGAAACGTCTTCTCCAGGGAGTCACGCCACCCATGAGGGTGATTTGAAATGTCCTCAGTAGGATATACACTCGATGGCACTTGAACCTGTCATTGTAAGGTAGGCAACAGATCTCTACCTTTGTCAAGCTGCCTCCAAGGCACAGTGCAGTGTTATATGTGGTCTGAGAGTAAGTCAAATTTCATAAAGCTGTAAAATTTGAATTTTGCTTTACATGAATGGAATTTAGAAATGGACCCAATTCCTTAATGTTTCTGACGAGCTTTTTAGGTCCCAGGTGGTGAGCTGTGTCTCCCCGTACACCACCTCCCCAACATTCAATCGGTGGCACCGGCTGATTTTCAGACGCTCAGCGGCGTTTCCGTCCAAGACTTCCTTTCAGTGTTTAAATTCAAGCGCTACATACACGACTCATCTTTTCCACCCTGAGCAACTTCAAAGCAATAAAGCAGAAGGTAGGCTCTGCCTCGCTCTCCTGCTGAAAACCGCACTGCAGTGGCTTGCATTTTAGTTTTTGAAAAGACCCAGAACACAGGTTTAGGTAGAAGCATTATATAACTTTTATTTTACATATGTCCACAAATGCTTGTACAACACACAGCAACTACTTCTAAAGCTCGTAGCATTCTTTTTCTCCTCGTAGCACAAAGAAAGGTCAGTGACACACAGAGGGATGGGCAGTCAGGGCTGAGTGCTCACACCGGGCCCCGAAGAGTGTTCTCAGGTGCAGACACACCGAACCCACGGGAGGGCTGGGGACCTGCCCGGCGGCCGACCTGCGAGGCCACCGCGGGAGGGCGAGAGGCGGCTCGGCCAGAACCGTCTCGGGCACAGGCCCCAGTCACCACCGTCAGACAGTATTTGAAAAAACATGATTACAAGGGACCAAAGCTGTTCCACTTTTTTAATTGTAAGCTATTACAATGAAATAAAATTTTACTCTTTACCAAATCTTAGGCCAGTGTTTACTTGGGTGGTTCCGAAGGGTAATACTGACTGTTGTTTAGCGCTAGCGTAAGAAAAGTCAGTTCCTTGCGGACTATGTCTAATGACGGCGGGACCAGCCGCTGCTTCCCGTCAGCCCAGGGCTAAATGCAGCCTCGTCAGCCTGGAATGTTTCAGGACCAGGGAGGCAAAGACTCACAGCTACAAGTGCAGCACTGGAAGAAAAGTGAAGGGAGAGGGGGAGACTGCCAGAGACATTAGCTCATAAGGTGTAGAAGCCCAGACAAATCAGATTGTTCCACAAACGTACTCTTCGTGTAAACATTTAAAAAAACAAGTATTTGATGGCTTTTCCATTCCTACAGAAAACATCAGAACTGACATTCACTTTAACTTTCTAAAAAAGTTCAACCCAAACAGCAGGGTTGGTGTTTGAAACTCAAACAGTATAAAATATTTTAAGAAACATTTTTTTAAGCCCCCCATTTCCTTTGCAGTTAATAAAATCCAAATGGCCTCATATGAAAATTAACCACACAGCAGTTTAAAAAGCATCTACCCAATTTCTGGGTTCCATCCTGATTGTTTTAAAGGTTTATTGGAGGCTTTGCTGCTGGATACAAAATAAAGGCATACAACTGTCACAAGGAGGGCAGTACGTACACAGTCGAAGCCATAAAAACCATTTCTAAATATAAACTCGTTTTTTTGGAATACACTGTGTCAGACGCTGCCCATATTAATACCTTTGGTATGAACAGTAACATTTCCCTTGAAAAGCAGACAAGATCCATCCATTACCATATACACATTCATATCGCTTTGTAACTACTCTACCTAGTCTAGTCTCAACCACGCATATTAGTCACAACTCACTTCTGTCCCTTGACAGGCGCAGAAGAGACTGGGAGGTAGGTAACTGAGAACATCCATCCCTCACGAGCACCTGCGAGCTCCCAAGCACACATCCCCGTCAACAGTCACACACGTCCCTTAAACACTCGAACATGGACACTAACTGGACCCCAAAGGACCTGCACAGCCTCTCACTGCTCACTGATGGCCACCCGATAGTGGGGCAAAGACAGCAAGGCGATCTCTCGGTGCCGGCTCCGCTTCCAGCAGGCAAGCTGCCCGAGGCTGCTGGGGGCGGGGGCGGGGGCGGTCCTGCGCAGACGCCCGCCGGGAGGACAGTCAGGCCACCCAGGGTTTCTGAGCGAAGGGCAGGGCATCCCCTTGCAGCAGTAAGAGCGGCTTAACAGGGAAGAAGGCCGAGGGGGAACTGGATGCCTCGGTTTGGCGAGCCACCCCGTACCCAGGCCAGACGAACTTCCTGGAATGCAGTGAGTCAACAAGGGGGGCTGCTGGAAGGGGCAGGAGTCAGGGAAGGAGCCAGGCACGGAGCTGAGCGCTCACCACCAGGGGCAGCTCTGCCCTCCGCCCAACATGTGGCGGGCCCAACAAGCACCAGACCCAGACCAGCCAAGGCGGCAATAGGCTTGCCCCCTACATAGAGCGAGGCACCCAGATACACACAGGAACAACAATTTGGAGGCACAAAGCACACCAGGTGCCACCTCCAGTGCTACAAGCTGCAATTAGTTACCAATAAGCCCTAGCACAGAATCCTGCTGCAGGATGGACTCCAGCAAAGCCAGCGCGGGAACCGAGCTGGCGGCGCACTGGAGCCGGGGCCAGCGTGCAGGCTGGAGGAGGGGGAGGAGATACGGAGCCTGAAGACACCGGGGCAGCCACCAGCTGCAGGGTCCCTCTCCGAGCGGTCAAACCGAATCCCAAAGGCAACACCACCCAGGAAGCTCAAGTAGGTAGTCAACATCCACAAAAATAAATACTGCAAACGAAAGTTCTCATGTACACTGCACACGCATTTGTCCTTTTCCTGTGAGAACCAACAAGCTTGGCTCCAAGGCCTCTCACAGAAAGGAGGGCTCTTGGACACAGCTTATCAACAACAGGGGAGCATTCACCTGGGTAAAAACCAATTCACCTTGTTGAGAAATATCAAAATAATAATCTGGCTTATTACAAAAGTATCTCCAGACTCGAGGGGAAGTGGAAGGTGCCCGGAGCCTGCAGATGATCTGAGTGAAGAACGGGGAGGGGGAGGGGAGGAGGGCAGAGGCGGCGCGTCCACCTGCCGGCTCACTGGTGCAGGTGGGCACGGTCGTCAGGCCGCTTGATGTGGATCCGCCGCACGCGCTCGATCCGCTCCCGCTCCCGCTCCTCATCTTCATCCAGGTGGTGGGAGCGCCCGGCCGCCCCGCCTGTGGCCTCCAGGAGCGCGTTGTCAGGTCCCCGCCCATCCTGGGCCTCATACAGCAGGATATTCAGGGTCTCCTCATAAATCCGAGCTTCAGGGAACTCCACCTGCATCCCCACGACATACAGGGCCGGTAAGTTAGCCTCAAACGCAGCCTACCACCTCCACCGCCACCCGGACCCCTGGGATTCCACTGAAAGCCCGCGGGGAACAAGTAAATAGATCTAATGGCCGCACAGTTCAATTAACGGGACCAGGTCCGTGACAGCACTTGGCAGCGTGACTTAGCTCTGTGTAACGGCGGAGACAGAAGTTGAGAGAGAGAGAGATCAGGTGTGTTGATCTGGGCCCACAGAGTCCAGATCATTCAGGGAGTCATGTGCTTGGAAGGAAGCCAACAAGGGCAGGTGCTAAGGAATGCCACGCGGGCCCGGGAGGGTGCAGGGCCGCTCTACGTCAGTGGGTAGAAAGAGGAGGACGGGCAGATGGCAGTGAGTGAGAGGTACTGAAAGCATGTACCTTGACCTAGAAAGTCAAGGTCAAGATCCTGAAAGTAGCACTGCCCCTCTGACGATCAAGACAGGATGGGGCCATGCTGGTGGGGAACGATGTTGCGTGGAAGGCCAGGAAGCACCCAGCATGGGTCCCATTGCTGAAGACAGGAGGGAACGCCGGCAGCCGGCAACACGCGGGAATAAGGCGCTGTCTGAATCCACATTTAGGGCAAAGAACTTGGATGCAGTGTGAGTATCTCTCCTTGCTGAGCGTCACAAAGGGAATGCCATTCTGACTCTGAGGCCTACATTTGGACCTTACCAAGGCCTGAAAGGCAGCGAAAGCTGTCCCAGTACAGATGTCAGGCTGCCACCCAGAGCGTCTGCTCAAAGCCCTCACCTTGGTCTGTTTCTTCTCAGTGGCGTAGACGATGGAGGTACAACAGACTTCGGCAATCTTTCGGCCCTGACCATAAAAGGACCAGCAGCAGATTTCGTCCCCGATGACGTCCTTTATGAATAGGACCCTTCCGTTAAAGCGCAGAGAGAGCTTATCAAAAAGTTCAATGTTTTTCAACATATTGTCGTCAGAGTTGCTGCAAGAGAGCATTTGACAAGGTGACCACAAGCTGGGAATGACTGCCGCCCCTGAATGACTGTTTCCACGGGCTGGCCTGTTTCTCCTCCACGACCCCACCCCAACCTCACCATCATCCCGTGGGAGATGGGCCACTGTCCCCACCGCTCAGAGAAGGAAAGTGAGGGTCAGACACATCAGGTAATTGCCTGAGGCCAAAAATGAATAAACGGCAGAGCTAAGGCCTCAAAAAGGCAGCTCTCGCCGCTCAGCCTCTGCCCCCGAACCAGGCGCTGCAGTGGCTGCTCTACAGTGTGCTATGCGGAGGCGGCAGGCTGGGGACAGGGGGCCTGCGCGTGCAGGGCCCCAGGTGGGGGCAGGGAGGAGCGCCCCGCTAGCCACCAGAGCGGTGGGACGGAACTGCCTGAGGGGAATTTTTATCCTGGTCAGATTACAGGTCTTCGGTAATTTTACCAAGTCCCCCTACATCCCTCATGCTCCTGGTTTAGAGTTGAAAATTCCCAAGAGCCACAAGGCATCCCAGACACCAGCACAGGACGCTGGTGGAGATGTGAAATGGCGCAGCCAGCACGGAAACCAGTTTGGCGGTTCCTGGAATGCTTAAACCTAAGTCAACACAGGACCCAACAGTTCCACTCCTAGGTGTATATCCAAAAGAAAGAAAAGCACATGTTCACAGAACCATGGACACGAACGTTCACGGCAACATTATTCATAATGGCCCCAAAGTGGAAACAACTCTAACTGTCCATCAACTGGTGAATGGATTAAAAAAAAAAAAAAAAAAAAAAAAGATGAAGTCCTGACCCACGCTCCAACATGGATGCACCGTGAAACACTACACTACGTGAGAGAAGCCGGTCCCAGAAGGCCGCACATTGCATGATTCAACTTCTACGAAATGTCCAGTGCAGGCGAATCCAGAGACAGAAAGCAAAACAGGGCTGCACAGGGCTGCGGGGAGGGGGAGTGAGAGGGAAAAGCAGAGTGACTGCCAGTGGATGCAGGGCGGCTTCTGGAGGCGATGGAAAAGTTCACAAGTTCAGTGATGGCCGCGCAGCTCTGGAAATGCACTAGAAACTGCTGAATTATATACTGGACAAGGGTGAATTTTATGGGGCACATGAATTCCATCGCCTGTCATCTGCCTTTCTCCCTCCAACCCACGTGGGCACCCTCCTCTGAAAGGAGCGGGAGGGGCAGATTTCCCAGCGAGCACAGGGGTCTTTTCCAGCTGATGCCTTACCTGGTATATGAGTATTTGTTGTTACTTCTGTTGTAGAGCAACTTCACGGCTGGCTGTGGGTTGTTTTGGAAAGAGAAGAGGGTTACTTGGAGTGCAGATGCAGGAAGCCACTGATTTCCCATCGGTTCGGCCCGCCACCAGGCCGAACGGGCGGACGGTGTAGCTTGCTGGCAGGGGCGGGGCTTAGGATGGAGACTGCATGACCCAACAGCAGGGACAAGAGATGAGCCAGGGTTCCCATTCTAAACCCCTTCTCAGGTCATCTCCAGTTTTCATTTCAAAACCTATTCAGAAGAACCACTATCATCTCTGATAGCAAAAAGAATGCCACAAGGGTGCCTCCGACATACCTTATTTGACGTTGCTATAAGTTTCTGTTCTTCTTTGGATGAGGTGATAACAGGAACTTTGCAGAAAGGCTCATAAGCATCTTTGTTCTGCTGGAACAAAACATGCTTTCAGCCTGGGAGGCGTGCCCTGCACCAGGTTGTTGAAACAGGGCTGCCGGGCAAAGGCAGGCTCTGGCGAGGGCAGACGGGCAGCCATGGATGGGAAGAGAGGAGGATTCTTACCACCTGTGAATTAGGGTGGGGGGACGGCCAGGAGTCGAGTTCTCCAATATGCCAGGTGCTCAGTAAATACTAACAACGATGACACATTTCCACAGCCTAAGGAGCCACTCAAAAATAGACCCTAAACATGGTAGATGAAATATGATTGCATCAAAGCTCCCAAAACCCCATGGCAATGACTATAGAGGAACAAAAAAGTGTAAGCCCAAGAGGGGAAAAAAAAAAAAGAGAGAGACGTGAAGTCAGAAGACAAAACACATCAAAACATTCAAGGCTGGAGAAGAGGCTGCAGAAGAGTGATAGCCCAAGTGGAGGAGGAAGCTGGAGGCTGGGACCTAAGTCAGCAGCTGGGAAAGAACCCGGGGGATTTTCAAGGAGCAGCCGCCAAGGCTGGTGGGCGCAGGGCAAGAGGAGAGGATCGCCTGCCAAGTGGCAGGAGCGCGGGAGAGACTCCCAGCTGGACTCCTTCCCCGCGGACGCCCACTGGATGACAAGGGCCACCCCCCGCACAGCTCTTCAGAGCCTACATTTCAACAAGCCGACAACCATCAGATGATATGTAGACAGTTTCTGAAACGTGAGACAAACAAAGAAAAGTAAGGGAAAGAGTCAGACGATGAGGGCAGCAGAAAGAAAACGTCAGATGCCGGCATCATCAGAGAGACGAGAGCGGGTATCGCAATCCATGAAACAAGATCGGCCTGCGACACCAAAAAGGCGCTCAGAGAGCAAGGAAAGGCTCTGGGGGTCAGAACTATGATAGCAGAAGTCAAAAATGCAATGCAAGGGTTGAAAAGATAAAACAGAAAAAAAGAAAAGAACAACATACTTCTGAGGAAATAGAATAGGAAGAAAAAGTGATACAAACTGGGAGAAGGTCTTGGAAGTTTAACTCAGACTGACAGAAACCACAGAAAGGTAACCCAAAGGGCACGTCTCCAAGACAAAGATGAATCAGAGGTCCAGTGACGTGTCGAACCTACCAGCAGGAGACTGGCCTTTCTGAGAATTTAGGCCTTTATTAGGGATATGTACTTAGAAAACAAAATAACGTACAAACAAAAACAATGAAGCAATCCCTAATTCTGGCAAACTGAAAAGTTACATAAGAAAGAAAATAGATGCCTTGACTGGTGTGGCTCAGTGGGTTGGACATCATCCTGCGAACTGGAAGGTCACCAGTTTGATTCCCGGTCAGGGCACATGCCTGGGTTGCCAGCCAGATCCCCAGCTGGGGTGCGTATGAAAGGCAACTGATCGATGTTTCCCTTCCCCCCCTTCTCCTAAACATAAATAAAATCTTTAAAAGAAAGAAAGTAGTCATTGTACACTCTGTGGCTCAACTGGTCACATCCCATTGTAAACCCTGAATACCGATTTACCAAACCTGTGATAACCTACGTGGGGCGAACAGAAGAAATATGTGTGAGCTTGGCAGTGGCTGGGGATGGTGGTAGTGCATGAGCTACAATTTAAATTTTCTATAATAATCCCATAGATAATGTCGAGACTGAAATGTCAATAAATAGTAGTATAATAACTATGAAAGTAAGTGGGTGCTGAAAGACAAAAGAGGCTGCCTGGGGGGGGGGGGTGGGGAGAGGGCAGAGTGCGGTATTTTTGACACCAACCTTGTAATAGTATTATGCCTGGCTTCTTAAATGGTATATGTGTATTTTCTTAATAACCATAAAAAATGAAAGAAAAACACTGCAGTAAAGGCTACAACATTGGGCTAGATGTTCAGTGAGTTCACGGACTCTCAGGGTAGAGGCGCTGTGCGCGAAGAGCTCCCCGAGGAGCTAGGCGTCGTGCGTGCTGCTCCAGCAGACGGCCCGAAGGACACGCGTCTTGGGAGAGGCCCAAACAGGAGCTTCACGTGTACAGACCCAACTCCTGAGATGACCCAAAGGGACTCCCCTGGTCCTCTGCCGTGCTGGAACTTGTCTGACGTGGATGGCCCCTGGCTATGTCTAGAAGCATTTTGGTTTTAGGGATTTTGCTGTCACCAGACTGGACTCTGGGGTCCCTGCCCCAGGTCCAGCTGAGGAGGGAGGGGTGTCTGAGTCTGCAGAGACTATGCCAGGCTCCCAAGGATGACTCGTGGGGTGAGAGTAGGCCCCAAGGTGAGTTAGGAAACTGCTGCACTACTGGGACCCGTGGTTCAGCACTGAAGGTTTCACCCTACACGTGAGATGACCCGACACCACGGAGATGGAAAGAAGCCAGAAAGGAGTTAGGTGGCTTACACATGACAGAAAAGCCCTTCAGGGGCCACTCTGACCACAGGGGAGGGGCTCCAGGGCTGGCTCGTTCCCTCTCATGAGGGGTCAGGCAGGGAGGGGAGCCCGCGGGGGCGGAGGGGGCGAGGGAGGCAGGCGGGCGGAAGGGCGATGCCTACTTGCAGGGCGGCCTGGCACTCCTCCACCAGGCCCTGGACCAGGTAGTACTTGGCTTCTGCCAGCAGCTCCTCGATCTCCCGGCGGCTCTCGGGCAAGGGGACGGCCCCGTCCCGCAGGTAGTTGAGTATCGTACCAAAGTGCTTCCCGCAGCGGTCAATGAGGATCCAGCCTGCAGTGGGAGGAGGAGGCGGGGAAGGCTCGTTCCACGGGCACACCTCTCTCGGAAGGCCCTGGCGAGAGCGGGCCCACAGAGAGTCACCAGCAAAGGGCTGACCCGGCCCGGCCTGAGCAGCACTGTCGCAGCCTCCGGGCCCTGTGGCTGGAAACCACCACACCCCGGAATCAGCTGGTCTCAGGCTCTTTGGGACGCCAGGGCCCCTTCGGCTAAGGCGTGTTTCTGAAGTGCCCTCAGAATCCCTCGGACAAGATTATCTGGAGGCCTAGCCCACCACACCTGGATAAACCACATCCAAATGACCCCAATAACAGGGAAAGGCCTCTGAAGGAAAACCGTCTACGCCCTCCTTCTTCAAGGCGTCTTCAGACTTCAAAATAACAGCCATTTCTAAGGAAGCAGAAGGCTCCTCCCACAGACTTTGTTTGACCCCCGGTTCCTGAGGGTGGCCCCCAGGCACTCGCCAGCACCGCCAGGGGGCATTCCATCCCTAACTCCCCAAACATGCACTTATTGGCTACCGACAGCGATCAGCTGGAGATAAAATGCCGAAGGAGATAGCAATCGAAGGAGAGGCAGACCCTGCCCGCAAGCAGCTCCGTCTAACTGGGAGAAATGGAACTTGCTTTGATTAAACATGCGAATACCCCTGCTGACCAGAACCAGGCACAGGAAAGAATTCTCAGGTGTGGGGCCAGGAAGACAAGCCCTCCCAGCGCTCGGTGCCCTCCCCAGTCTCAGCACCGGCCTGCGACTCCTCCGGCTCCTCCACTAGAGACGCGATGGGGCTTCAAAATCCCTCTCCTGAAAGAGCGTCCCTGGGAGTGGTGTTTGGAGGAGGAAACAGGACGGGAACCTGGGCATAGAAGATGGTGCCGATGAGGGAGGTAAGAACGGGACAAAGACCATGTGTGTCTGGATAGAAAATGGGAAGCGCTAGAAGGAAGCCAGAGAGTCCTGGCCTTCCCGACCAGCAAGGCCTCCTCGGGGGAAGGGCTTCCCCAGGTCTCCCGTCCCACGTTACAGGTGAGAAAACTTCAGTGCACAGGGCCATTGGGGGGTTCAAACACGAATCAGCAATCTTATGCCCCCATTTCCACTCCTAACACCACGTGCCCTGCCCCATTCCCCCTTGGACACCCCCCCACCCCGGTCCCTGGGTCGGCAGCAGAGGGCGACCAAAGCCGAGAATAACGAATGTACCTCTTTCGCATCCGGAGTCACACGTCCGCTCACCTCCCATGCCCCCTTGTGCCCCAGCCCCAGCCCCGCCAAAGCCCCTCGGGGGCTACACTGGACAGGTTGGTGTTCTCTGCAAGGCGCACCAGGAGGAGGGTGGATGAGAAGGCCGTTTCTCTTCTCCCCGCCTGCAACCACTCCTCAGCCCCCGCTTCCTAGGCCTTGGTCTCGTCTCTCCAGAGCCTTCCACGTGGCACTTCCTCACAGCTATGGCTTTCCAGGTGGGAAGAGTAACTCCCAATCAGGGCAGACACAACGCGAACGTGCAGCCTGGAGCCACACCCCGGCTCGGAGGAAGGGGCGGTATATTCCGTGACCCTGCCAGTGTCTGCTGGCCCTCATCCCACCGCTTCTTTCTACGATGAAGACAACAAAGTAGGGGCTTGGTATCTGTTATGTAGCTCAGATGCCCACAGGGGCCATGAGCAGGCTGGATGAACGCGTGCAGGTGGGCTGGGGTGCTGGGGAAGGAAGGGAGGGTCTTCCCGTTCTTGCCAAGGGCGGCCAGGCAGAAATATGGGTCTAGGGCTGTGTAAGCATCTGATGTTCTCAACAAAGCCAAAAATGCAAAGATTTATGAAATCTCCTGATTTTTAAAGAATGGTAAATTAATTCTTTAAAAAACTTGTCATCAACTCACTACAGGGCACCCAAAACGGATCTGCAGGCTGCACCGGACCTTGCGGGCCACCGGCTTGCACCCCTGTGAGACCTTGCATCTAGTGCTTTTCTCCCAACAAGCGGACAAGGTATGGAGCGGCAGTACTCTCTTCCCAACAGTTCTTATGCAGGGGGTCTCATCCACTGAATTTTCCACCGATGAACACAGAAGCTCAGAGAGGTTCGGTGACATTCCCAATTTGGGAAGGCAGAACTGGACCACAAAGAACAAGAAAAAACTTAGGGAGACAACTTTCACGGGAACTGAGAAGAGGGGAGAAAAGACAAGCAGAACCTCAGTCTTTAGAAGAAACAGCAACCACCTCCGCACAGCTGCTCTGGGAAGAAAATGTCCACATTCTGTCTCTGACGCATAGACAACTCAGCTGCCTGGAAGGAGCAAGGGCTCCTGAAATCAATTATTCAAGTGATTCCAATTACCCTGGACTGTTGCAGAGTTTCCATCCGTGAACAGGCGGACCGTGACACTGGGCTCCAGCTCAAGAATGCTGTCAGGAAATGCTTGCGGCGAAGGAATCATGCTTTGGACAAATAAGGGCAAAGGAGCCAGGAGGACTTTCCATGAGGTTTCAATTAGCATTTTGACTTTAAAGTCTTTCAGTTGCTTTCAAAGCAGGAATCTATCCCTTTGAAACAGCTTTGCATGTAGAAAAGCAAATGGAAGTCAAGCTCGTGGGGCATCTTTCCTGCTGCCGCAGAGCGCATTCAGGAAAGCTGTACACGGCAGGGCAGCATGGAGGGGGGGCTGGTCCCTTCAACAGGCAGGAGAGAGCAGGCAGGGTGCAGAGCAGACGCTCAGGGGCGGTGTGAGGCGCAGCACAGCACAGGGGTTACAGTGTGGGCCTGTGCTGGAAGCCCAGCTTTGCCTACGTACTGGACAACGTTAGCGTTTCACTCAACCTCTCTGTCCAGCAGCTTCCTCTTCTAAAGATGGTGCCTCACAGGGCCGGCATATAGGCACAAAGAGAGAATTACGGGAAGCATGTATAGCACAATGCGGAGTCTACTGGCAGAGCTCAAATTAGGTCTTTGACGATGAGCCCCTTCAGCAATACTGCTTGAGAAGGAAGCCACAGTAGCATCCAGGAGGCACGTCCCAGCCCCCAGGAAGGAATCTGGGTGACTTGCAGGGTACCACGGAGGTTTCTCTCAGGGTTAGAGGGGCTGGGCCGCCAGGCTGGCCTTAGAGGAAGGCCACAGGCACACGACGTACTTCCTCTCCCCGTCCCCAGCTTCCTACAGGGAGCTGTCACTGACCTCTCCTCACCATACGAAGGTATTTGCAATCTGTATTTTTGTGGTTCCCAGACTTTCCTGATCATAAGTGACCGGAGGTACTTGTTACTAGTCCAGATACCAGGAAGCTGCCTCGTTCCTGAATCACAATCTCTAGGGCAGGACTTCCAAGAGCCTCAGCACTCCTGGTATTTTGGGTTGGGTAATTCTTTGTTATAAAGGGACTGTCCCGTGCATTACAGGGTATTCACCAACATCCCCGGCCTCTACCCACTGGTTGCCAATCCCACTCCCACCCCCTAACTGTGGCAACCAGAAATATCTCTGGACAGTGCCAAGTGTCCCCGGGGGAGCCAAGCCATCCCTGGTTGAACACCACCGAGGTAGCTAGGAGACCAAAATCGAAAAAACAACATGAAAACTGAGGCACCATTAAAAAGGCTATAACAAGTTGGGCTTATGCTGTTTATATTTACAACATAAAAAACCATAAAGGAATAAAATCTAGAACAGATACTTCTTTCTACAAAGCAAAAACGGGAAAATGCATGAGATGCAATCAGGCACCTATGCAATGAAACACAAAGATAAAAAGATGCTCAACCTACCAGAAATAACAAGAGTACCACATGATAACCACCAAACTGGCAATAATGGAAAGGTTTGATAGTGCCCAGTATTACACCTCTGTGGGGTGTGTAAACTGACACAGCTGCTAGTATCTGATCAAGCTGAAGATGCCACCCCCAGCTCCTCTCCAGGGAACAAACTCTGGGCTAGAGCACCCGAAGGTGTGTGAGCTCTTAATGCCGCAGCCCAGGCAGCTCAGCAGGGGCTGGGGAGCCAGAGCCCCTTCATTTACCACAGCAGAAACATGACTTTTGGGGCGAGCCATGATGTGCCACAGACTGGGAAGCTCCACCCTAGAGAAACACACACGCCAGGGACGGTTTTCCAGAATGACTGATATTCCTAATGGCGAACACCATCCGCAGAATATGAATCCAAAAACTGCGGTATATTCCTAGAATGGGACACTCTGGGTCAGTGACCTGTTTGAACTAGAACTGTTTACTAATGGCTTGATCTTACCAGCATAGTGCTAAGTAAAACAAAAGCAAAAAGGCTACAAACAGGGTAACACCATTTATATGATGTTTAAAAGTACACCAACACTGGAAAACATAGCAGATCTACCTAATACACATAAACTAATAAAGAGAGGCAGCCAAAATGGGGAGACAAAGAAACATCCCTCCAAATGAAAGAACAGGAGAAAACTGCAGAAGAAGCAGTAAATGAAATGCAGGCAAGCAATCTACCAGATACAAGTTTGAAAACAATGGATACTCAAGAAACTTAGAGGAAAAATGAATGAACTCAGTGATAACTTCAACAAGGAGATAGTAAACAAAAAAAAAAAAATAGAAACCATTTTAAAAAAACAGTCAGAAATGAAGAACACAATATCTGAAATGAAGATTATACCAGAAGGAATCAACAGCAGATTAGACGAAGCAGAGTACTGAATCAACAATTTGGAAAACAAGGTAGCAGAAAACACCCAATCAGAGCAGCAAAAAGAAAAAAGAAATTAAAAAAAAAAAAAAAAGAGAGGATAATTTAAGGGACCTCTGGGTACCAGCAGGAGAAGAGAAAGCAAGAGACTGAGAAGTTATTTGAAGAAATAATGATTGAAATCTTCCCTTATCGGGTGATGAAAAAAGACACACAAGTCCAGGAGGCGCAGAGAGTCCCAAACAAGGTGAACCCAAACAGGCTCACACTAAGACACATCATAATAAAAATGGCAAAGGTTAAAGACAAAGAGAGAATCT